GCAATAGGAACCACCAGTCGTATTTAACTAATTGTCCTAATTCTATTTCCTCAGAGTTTTAAAAATAGGACTCAGAACCCATCCCTTTTTTAATTACTTATTTCCTGTTGACTGTCATTAATCAACATGTCAACATCTACAGATTATTCATGAAAACATACAGTTGTCATTTTTTAAGACCACAATATGCAATGATTTAACAATGACATTTTCACTTAACAGTGTAAACCAAACAAGCATATTCTACAAAAAATATCTGAACAGTTTAAGAGCCGTCCACACAGGGTTTGGTCAGATTTTATCTGTTAGATCAGCAAATATATATCAACAACTGTATGGTTAGCCTCATGTTCAGTAGATGGATATACATTTGATTATACAATTGATTATTTAGGCAGGCTCTAGCACTGCAAAGCTTTTGGTAAATTTTGTTGACCAATCATATCTAGGAAAATCTGACTGTACAGTGCCTTGAAAAAGTATTCATACCCCTTGAAATTTTCTACATTTTGTCATGTTACAACCAAAATGTAAATTTAGTTTATTGGTATTTTATGTGATAGACCAACACAAAGTGGAACATAATTGTGAAATGGAAGGAAAATGATAAATGGTTTTCAATATTTTTTTACAAATCAAAATTTGAAAAAGTGTAGCGTCCATTTGTATTCAGCCCCCTTTACTCTGATACCCCTAACTAAAATCTAGTGGAATTGCCTTCAGATGTCACCTAGTTAGTAAATAAGAGTCCACCTGTGTATAATTTAATCTCAGTATAACTACGGCTGTTCTGTGAAGCCCACAGAGGATTGTTAGAGAACATTCGTGAACAAACAGCATCATGAAAGTCAAGGATGCACCAGACAGGTTGGGGATAAAGTTGTGGAGAAGTTTAAGGCAGGGTTAAGTTATAGAAAAATATCCCAAGCTTTGAACATCTCACAGAGCACTGTTCAATCCATCATCCGAAAATGGAAAGAGTATGGCACAACTGCAAACCTAACAAGATATGGCCATCCACCTAAACGGACAGGCCGCCAAGCAGCCAAGAGGCCCATGATAACTCTGGAGGAGCTGCAGAGATCCACAGCTCAGGTGGGAGAATCTGTCCACAGGACAACTATTAGTCGTGCACTCCACAAATCTGGCCTTTATGGAAGAGTGGCAAGAAGAAAGCCATTGTTGAAAGAAAGCCAGAAGAAGTCACGTTTGCAGTTTGCGAGAAGCCATGTGGGGGACACAGCAAACATGTGGAAGAAGGTGCTCTTGTTAGATGAGACCAAAATGGAACTTTTTGGCCTAAAAGCAAAACGTAATGTGTGGCGAAAAACTAATACTGCACATCACCCTGAACACACCATCCCCACCGTGAAACATGGAGGTGGCAGCATCATGTTGTGGGGATGCTTTTCTTCAGCAGGGACAGGGAAGCTGGTCAGTGTTGATGGGAAGATGTATGGAGCCAAATTCAGGGTGATCTTAGAAGAAAACCTGTTAGTCTGCAAAAGACTTGAGACTGGGGCAGAGGTTCACCTTCCAGCAGGACAACGATCCTGTCAAAGTCCAGACCTAAATCCAATTGAGAATCTGTGGCAAGACTTTAACATTGCTGTTCACAAAATCCCAATAAAATAAATTTACGTTTTTGGTTGTAACAAGACAAAATGTGGAAAATGTCAAGGGGTATGAATACTTTTTCAAGGCACTGTATGTTGCTGGTTTTAAGTAAACTTGTACTTCGAAAGATATGGGGAACGGCCACTGCTGACTGCCTTTTGAAAAGGTTATTCTGACACGTTGGCTTCAATGATTTTAGTCAATTACCTGCAACCAGTATTCAGAGCTGGAGAAGCAAAATCTTTTTTTTTTGCATGCTTGCTCCAGGTCAGGGACATCAATGAACTCAAATTGTCAGCTTGACAAGTTAGCTAGCATTTTCAAATGAAAACAACATCAATGGCAGCTTCCAATTTTCTCATGAAAAATTTCCCTTTGGGGTAAAAATTGGAGGATGTTGAAGCTTTTCTCTTTACCCTTTCTCCATTTTTAAAACCTTTACAAAATGAGTTCAGTAACACCTGATCTGTGGATTGCGTAGAGATTAATGCAATAGTGTTGCACCTCTGTGCTCCATACAATATTGCTTTGAAGTTTGTGAACCCTTCCGAATGATCAATATTTGTGTGTAATTACAACCTAAAATTTGATTTTTCTCATGCAAGTCCTAAAACAATAATAAAAAAACCCAAATAAAAAAACAAAAGCATTATACTCGCTCATTTATTCACGGAGGAAAAAAATCCATAGCTAAAAAATTTTGTTCCAAAAGATATGTGGATCTCCAGGAGTTTCAATTAATTTACAGGGAAACAAAAAGTATGCTTTTCAACCAATGGGATGATTATCAGGAGTGAGCGTGGAAGGCCTGGCCTTATTTACATAACATAAAATTGGGTCCTCACCATCCACGTCTAACTTTAATGCCACTGACTTGTCATGGCTCAAAAAAGGAGATTTCTAAGGACCTCTGAAACAAAATTATTGAAGCTTAAAGTCTGAAAATAAATTATTTCCAAAGAGTGTAAACTCCCCCCCAGTCCACTGTAAGGCAGCCCATACGTTGATCATTTTTTAGGGGGTCAACCAGCACGTTGAACAAAAAAAAAAACTTATCAGATTCCTCCATCAACACATTCAAAGTAGATGGGGGAATCTATTCCCGCTGTGGTATTGTATTCTAACAGGGGGAAACCTTCCCCGCTGTCAGAATACAATGATCAGTGTTGCCAGTTATAGCCAGAGGTACAAATTGTTTGGGAAGAATCCCAACAGGCTGACTGTACACAAGTGCCCATCCCTGCTGAACTGCCCGAATGTCGATCCATGTACGGTTGGCTTAACACAGATTGCCTACAAATAGCAATTAAACGCCACTGTTCTCCCTCTCCAGGAGTGGTGGACCAACAAAGATCACACCATGAGCAAGGCTAATTAAAACACATGAACCAAAATGTATTGATAACACAAAACAGCATTTAATTACTCATATGTTATAAAGCAACAATGCACTTTCAAAAATCCTACTTGGGTCATGTGAATCCTATAGCTACAATGTCTAAATCACCACCACTCTACTGTCTTCTGAAAGCAGGTTCACCTATTTTTGGCAAACGCAAATATGTACAAGTAACTGGATCATTTTTCTCAATACATACAGTAAATGAACAAGCATTAGGTTGTTGACCCCATTGGTGAATAACTTTTCGTTTCTGAAAACAGATCATATTTAGGTCACATTTACTCAGAAATATTGAACATTCACAAACATTAAAGTCCCCAGGTCTGTGTACCTATTGCTACTTATTGGGCCTACAAAAATCTATGAAGATTTCCCTGAGAACTGGACTGGGATACATTGGGTTAAGGGCATATAACACAGTATGCAAGTGTAACAGTGTAATTTACATACAATCCACAGATCTTGAGTTGGTGGACAGCTTTTTATAGCCTCATAACAACAACAATGTCAAACAATTAGAGATCATCTTGTCAGCAAAATGGCAGGAATGAGGGTTCTACTTTGCTTAACCCCACCGGGTGCCTCCAGAATCTCCTATATTTGGAGTGATTCAATAAGGAATTTGTGACACATTTCTGACGGAGTATATGTAGTCAGAAGCCTTTCGCCAAATTCATGGAAAGATGAGACATTTTCAATGATGGTAGCAAAGCATGAAACAAATTCAAGTAGCTCTTTTTTGCAATATGTTTACTGTATAGTGCTATTTATGAGACAAATTCATAAAGAAATACCGTCAAATTGGTGATGAGTGGAAGTTCAAAGGACCTTTTCCATGTTTGAGTAAATTGTTGACTGTGTTGTATGTGTAACTGTGTTGCAACTGAGACAATTATTTGCCAAAATGTGTCTACGATCCCCTGAAACGGATATTTGATACATTTCCCATTACTCCACCAACCTCTTCAAATAGCTTCTCTGCCTGTATAATTCTGCCACTTTGCAGAAGAGATGCCTTTGACACTTCTAGTAGAGCTGCGTTGTACTTTAACAGACATGTACATGAATCTGTTGCAAATTTCAGTGCTTGTTGCACTACCACAAGACATGTTTCTAAAGAGGATCTACAACACTCTTTATGAATTCCACAGTTAACACACAATCTGCAGATCTGGAGTTGGTGGGGTGTCTTTTTGTAGACTAATGCCTACAACAATGTCAAATTAGAAATCATCTTGTCAAAAATGAGGGTCTCACCTTGTTAGACCCCACAGAAGACTTAAGCCTCTACTCCCAAACACATTTTTCTTTTATCAGATATGTAAGAGAAAGATGCACAAAATAATAATTCAAAAGGGGTAATAAAAATGATTGCAACAAACAGGAAAGGAACCAAGGGATATTACAATGAGCTATACAATCTGGTTTACCCATTATGAATACTAGAGCTATTTTGGAAAAAAGTGATTATACACGATTCATTGTTCAACAAATAAAAGAGGACAATTAAAAATGAGGCAAGAGTCCCTTTAAGGCTTTGCAGCCAACAATCTTGACATCATGAAGACTGTACCTCTGCTGAGACTGGGTAATTCAGCTGTTATCCACTGACTTTACAGCTTTTGTACAGCAATACACATGGACACAGAGCATTACTTCCACACTGTAAGCACTTTGGGATTCCTTTATCTCCCCAGCAGTCACACAGTCTCTTACTCTACACAGTCCTTTCACAACACAGGTCTTTCTATCCGTAAAGGAGAAAGCAGTTTGTACAAGATGAGAAAGGTGCCAAGGATATGTGTTCACAATCAGCCAGAGGCTCCTTAGTAGATCCATACTACACTGATGTTCACAGAACGTTGAAAATAAAAATAAAGAGATGTACATATATCTCTATCTATCTATATATTTATATATATATCTGTAGGGTTACTCCTCTGTTGGGACAGGGGGAGGATTTTGCTAGAGTGTGTGCACTTTACAAGTCTATGAGTTGATCCACCAGTAGTAGAGACCTGGACATGTTTGGTAGGCTGGACTCTGAGTTCCCACTGCTGTTATTAGAGTGAGGACCTGGAAAGTGGGGGAAAGACAGCAATTCAGTATGTTGTTGAAAACAGAGACAGAGCAGAAGGTGCAAAAGGCAGGAAGCATGGGATCTGTGAGAGAAGCATTGTGTAACCATTTGCCATTTGTACTTAAAGGCCAAGTTCAGCCAAAACCGTCTACTGGCATATGCCAATTCACTACAACACACATCAGTTGCTACGGTTTAAGATGGGACTCCCCATGTACCTTCCCATTAGAGATAGAGACAAATCAATTTTTTGCAGATCAGGAAAATTACATCCTCGGAAGGCCAATCATGATTTACTTTTGCGGGAGTATGGCTGTAATCTTAAGAGCTGGCCATAGACTATGCAATTTTCTTTCCTGCAACCACGGGTTGCAGGAAAGAAAATAGCTCAATTCTCCCATCAACACAGTGTTGGATAAGGTAATTCGTCCCGCGGAGCAATTGTGTTCTCCTGGCGGGGGACTATCCTTGCCAGGCGAACACAGTGATTAATGATAGCAGCTATAGCCCCTGGCAAGAATTGCATGAAAAATCCGACATGCTGGTAGTACCCAAGTTGTACAACAACTGAATTAGGTACCATCAGCCTGCCCATAAATTGTTCGAATCTCGTACGGTCCTTGCTGAACTGGTCAAGATTTGAACCATCTATGGTTGGCTTTAATCCTAGCACCCTGGATTTGACTTGCTCATTATCACCATTTATAATCTATAGTCATCAATATTTCTTTTGGCTCCAGCCACATCTCCAGCCATTTCAGCTTTCCCTTTAGGACATAATGGAGACTTAGGTAGGGGGAAATTACTAATTTGGTTGGCGAAATTAGATAAGGTAAGAAATCTTGCCACTGGAGACCTAGAGAGAAACAAGCAACTGCTGCATGTTGTAAAACACGACCATCTACTTACTACAAAAATATTGGTTTTTAGCTGTACTCAACCTTTAAATTTCAATGCTTATAAATCATGCATCGGTATGCAATCTGGCATGCAGGAGTTAAACTATACTCAGCCTAATGTGAACCAACTCTTCTCTTTAAAAAAGGTGACATGACATCCTTGTGCTATCCATATTCAAAAAAAAAAAAAAATAATTTTTTCCTTTCCTGAACATAAGATATTTTTCAGGCATAGCCTGAAAGACCGCAAGAAATGTCTGGTCTGGAGCTTTCAACATCACATTATGGGGACATGACTGTCAGATTAAATTAAAGCCCAATTTCTGTCAATTTTTTTTTTTTTTTTGTCTATTGGAGGGATATTAGAAAAGAAAGTGAGGGGAATTCACCCAATGGGGACACAGACAGTATTAAAACATTTTCTAGTAGAGTGTGGAAGGCTTAAAATAGAGGTAGGCAACATCGGCATGACTTCTAAAGGCAGATGGATGAGTTCTATAGTTTCAGAACAGCTGGAATGCCAAGGTTGCCTACCCCTGACTTAGAACAGGGATTTTTCCTCACTTGCTGTCCAGTTGACAGGAGTCAGACAAAACAGGAGAAATTTTTGTCTACGAGGAAACAGCCTTCATAAATCGAATTTTAAATCCCATCTCTTTCCCACTCTACCACAAAAACAAACATTGAGCTGACGATACCAAACATTCTTCCTAGGACCTAGTGATAACAGTATAACATTAGAGGAATAAGATACTATGAGATCATGAGAAACTAATGGTAGAACATAGGTTAATACCTACAGAAAATCTGCAGGCAACAGTAATTGATGACTAGGCAACTGCACAAAGAGATGCAGAAGAACTGGCCTGCTAAAGCACAGTTTAACCCCTGAGATGCCAGAAAAAGCAAATCATTGTAAGATTACAAGCAAATGATTTATTTTATACCTTTAAGATTGTCCTTTAATACCCACTAATGTCTTCCCGTTTCTTACCTTGGGAATTTTTGGATACCAGTACAGGAATAGGATCAAACTCATCATCAGCTGTTTTTTCTGTATCATCCGGGATATCAAAGCCAGTTAGGAGGTTAGTATCGTCTGCAGCGTGCGAAGGAGAAAGAAAGAAGCGGGAAGCTCAGACAGCGAAAGAGAGAAGCCAGTTAGCAAATTTATACAAACAGCCAAGCAAGGGAGTGGACTATGGGGACACACAGGGTGTATGTGTACAGTGGACAACACAGACATGCTAAATGGGTAAACCAGGTACTGACTGTCATTTATTAGTGGCAGATAATGCTCTGCATAAAAACAACTGCCATAAGCTAAAGGACATCTAGACAGAAAACTACTGTTAAAGCCAGTCCAAAACTGTTATATCAGTTTGTGGCAAGAGATTGGAATCATCTACAGGCCTCATTTTTCTCAAAGAATCCAGAAACCAAATCACTGGAAAAAATGTTCCAGGTTCTTCTACCTACTGTGGTCATGAAAATGGGATCCTCGTCTTCTTGCTGCATTTTTTTACTTACTTATATAGAATGCAACTGGATAGACTTTATGGTAGAAGGTAGTGCAGCTAGAAGTCCAATGAGGAGATCTTGCCAGTGGAGCCTCCCGGAAATATAAAGAACCAGCGGGTGATTTAGTCACCCAGCATCCACTCCAAAAGGACATCTGCTCTTTTGGATAGGGTTACACTTTATTTAACTAATATGTAATGGCCAGCAGATCAGCCGATTAGATTATATACATTTATGGATGAATATAACGTGTTACAAAAAAGTGGTAACATAGGGTTAGCAACACGTAGGTTATGAGTTCTTCATGTGTTCTAGCACCATTTGGTTTCTTGCCAATCAGCAGAGTCCTTGCACCATCATGCTCTGCAACTGACACACTTTACAGTATTAAGATCACATAACTGCACACATTAACACCACGTGTGCATTTTCTTTTATTGTATATGTGTTTATGCTTTTCCAAATTGAGGTTTAACTACTTGGAAGGAAATATGCTTTATGGCAAGTCCTTGTGGAAAGTATTGTTAAAGCAATGTATAAAACATAAGGTAAGCATGAAGTGAAATGAAGAGTAAGAAGAAGACGACAACTACTTCCAATATTTTGCACACGCACACATACATAGTACACAATCAACTGTACAACACTAATCTACATATACACAAGTTCAAATGTATACACTGGAACATTACCAGCTCAGACAATACTAGAACACAGCAAAAGGCGCATGGGATTGAGCAAACTCTGACCAAGTTTGAGCAGTGGTTTCTAGTCCCACTCTGAGATGTGCCAGAATTTTTGAAAGAAGACATGTTTGTTCGATAATAGGCCACACCTTTAAGATAACCGGTAACCAATGTGCATCATTAGTGGTACCACTGATGATTCGATGTGAAGAATTGGTTAACAAAGAATTACAATGAGATGAATAATAATGAACAGCAGATGACTTGTTCACAGGATACATGTCTCGTGTAAAATGCAATGTGCCACATCTTCATTTGAGAAAAATGAAGAAAAATCTGCATTCTACATGTTTTTGTTTTTGGCATTGTTGGTATTTTACCACTTGCAATCCCTACTGACTGAAGGTGTTTCCCAGCATGGATCACCATTACTGCACTATATCATAGATTTCTGGTTTAAAGGATAAGTTCACCTTCGAGAACATGTTACATGTTCCACCTGTTTTTAGATTGCAGCTCTACCCCCTGATCCCTCCACTCTCAGACAGCAGGCCAGGGATTTCTCCCCCACCAGTTTTTACAATTTAAGAAGCGGTGGCCACTTGGGGCTCCGCCCACACAGCCACATTGTTAATTTAGAGTTCTGTGAATCAATGTACTACAAGTACTGACAGCCTTTGTGGCTGAAGGGCTTGTAGATCTCAGTCTCCTCCAGGACTGAAGTAACTGCTTGCCCGTATCGGAGGTATGGTCAGACAGCTATACTGACAGTCCGTAGGAGCCTGACAATGTGCAATGCTTTCCAGGCTTCTAAGAAAAAAAAAAAATAAATAATAAATGCACATTTTTTTAACTAAAAAAAAAAAAAAAAAAAAAAAAAAAGCACTTTTTTTTTAAAGTGAACATTTCCTTTATTTATTGCTACAACAGGATACATACATCAGCATAAATGCAAATATCAGAGTATGTACAGCTGTGACTCTGGGAACAGAAAATCTGTGTTAGAATGCTTCTTTAAAGTGATTGTAAAGGAGATTTTTTTTTAAAGTATAGCCAAAGCTTTTTTTTATTTGGCTATACTTCTCCTATGGATCACAGGAGAGCAGTTTGCTGGTCCAGGCTGTGAAAAGATCAAAACCATATGGTTGGGACCCACCCAGAACCCTAAACTGGCACCAGGTTCAGGCTCTCAGCGATCTGCTGAAAGCCTGAGCCAGCCCCTCTTGCCCACTCCACAGCCCAGTGCTCCAGTGAGCCCTAAAGGGGGAAAGCAGACAGCCAGTGACCAACAGTCAAGGCTCTTTGCTCAGAGCAGAGGGAAGAACTGAGTGATCTTATTTTTTTAAGCCATATTTCTCTTTTAAATAACAAACATGTCATACTTACCTGCTCTGTGCAATGGTTTTGCACAAATCAGTACCGATCCTCTTATGGGGTGCCCCACCGGCGCTCCTGACTCCTCCCCCCTTTTGAGTGCCCCCATAGCAAACCGCTTTCTAATAAGGTAATCATGTAGGCTCAATCCTAAACCAAGCTCTGTGTGGCTATTGACACACACAGCATAGCTTGGCCCCTCCCAGGCTGTGATTGATAGCAGTAGATTGCCTCCATGTCCAGTAAAAAAGGAGAGAGTGGAGACAGCCGGTGCTCTCAGGCATAGAGTTGGGCTAAGTTTGGGCATAGGTAACCATGGGGGGGAGAGGGGATTAAAAGATAAGTTCACCTTTCATAACATGTTACATCGATATTCAGGCTCTAACCTGTAACATGTTACGATCTGACCAGCCCCCCAATCCCCACTTTGACAGCCGCCCAGCCACGTCACTCATTCACAGCATTCTGTGAATTAGAGACTACAAGTCCCGGCAACTTTAGCGGCTGTCAGCTTTTAGTTCTCAATGAGCTACCATGGCGCTGTGGAACGCTGTGGTAGTTAGTTGATTCTTCCTGTTAGTATATTTGCTTGCTTGCACATCACCTACGAGCAAGCAGATATTCTGACAGATCTGCAGGAGATCTGCACGGCACCAGCAATCTGCTGATCACTGGTGCAATGGCTTACAGGTTCCTGAAGACAAATATAATAAATGCACCTGCAAAAAAATGTTCATTTATTATTTTTTACTAAAAGGTGAACTTATCATTTAAGCTGAACAAAGTAGGTTTTTACTTTAATGCATAGAATGTATTAAGATAAAAAAAAACTCCTGCCTTTAGCACCACTTTAAACCTCAATAACAGGCAAAAAAGTTATTAAAATTTATTAGTTAAAAAAAAAAAAAAAAAAGAATCTACATGTAAAAATCCTTGTTAAAAATACGATAGCAATCAAAGTAGACCTCTCCTCACAAAATAGTGCCAAGGGGAGGAGTGAAGGAGAATACCATGTCACTTGGATAACAGCTAAAAGTCTGCTGTGGCTGCCGACATCACATCCAAGATGGCAGCTCACATTGAAGGTGGGGGATTTTACAGGTAAATAAAAAAGCATAAAATAAGTTACGTTACATGCAAATAAAATCTTATGGGAAATGAATAGTCTGGCGACAAGGCCACCAAGAAATAAACCTTACAGAAAAGCTTCCTTAAACACAGAGCCTTCACCCTGTTCTAGAGTATCTCTCGCAGCAGTATAGTCAAACTATACATTTAGACCTTCACAATGAGTCTCCCAGCCAGATGCTGAAATTCAATTATATATTAAATGCAGTACCCTACAGTCACATAACTATTGTAGCTGGTGATGGTGTAATCTACCTGGCTATAAAATCCTTATACATGACTTGATGCTGCAGATGAATACAGTTTGCATATTATCATTGTCTCCTATCATATACAAAGGTTGGTCCCAGTACAACAGTAAAGATTCTACATATCCTACACCGCAGATTTGATGCCATTCTAATTAAATGGATTTTCTTGTTCAAATAAGTCATCAGGTTTTGGCATACTTAAGTCACAGATAGAAATCTCAGAAATATTTTAGCATTACAAGTGTGTTGAGAGTTTGACTCATTGAACAGGTTGCATGACATGGAAACAGCATGATTAAAGCACACAGCTATACCATCATACACACAGATAACTTGCAGAATGAAATGCAAGAAATACAAGGGCTTCGCACAGGGACATTTTAAATAATCCTGAGTGTTACCTGCAGATGTTGGAGCAGAAAGAGTTACAGGGGCAAACTCATCAAGAAGGTCAGCCGCAGGGTTAGATAAAATAGAGTAGTCAAGAAGAGAGTCCTCCCCAGTGAGAGAGTCTGGAGATCCCAAAATGCAGCAATAAAAAGACGGCAGTACGTTAGTACAGAAGAATATTGCATTTGTTTAATGAATTACTAACTTCTGGGGTGCCGGAAACAGAGCTCAGAGAAGGAATTGTCAGCTAAAGAAGGCTATCCCTATAAGTACTAACCTACTTAGATATATGCAACCTTTGTACCAAAACTCCCAAGTGGGGCCTATGAAGTTTTCACAATAAAGCTCCATTTACCTTTAATCCAGTGGTCACAGATAACACCTCAGTGATCACTAATAAGACACGTTTACTCCTGCCCCAGTGGGGACCCATCCACTCTTCCAGGTAAGGAAGTCCGCCAACAGCTCAAAGCATAGTGGGTGCAGATCCAGCTTGTCTGCATTCACCACACTGAACTTGAAACTGCTGAACCACTGATACTTAAATCAATAGCTATTTATGGAAGAAGACAGGAAGCCTCTTATTGGTTTCTCGTTAAAAAATCCGTTGCTTCTTCTGTACGCCCTTAGATCGTCACTAAATACAGATTTGAGCAGCAGTTTAGTTGCAGTTGCCTTCATGTTCTATTGCAGCCTGACAACTAGAATTTTCCATAGGAAGTCACCAATAGTAATTTATTTATGTCTTCTAAGACAGGTTTTCTTTAACATAAGGTGGATTGCCCAATTTATCACCATTCATCTCGAACACGGTTGAAGATGTAAATCCATGCTACCTATTTCTGGACATACAATTCCAGATTTTCGGGAAGCTTATTTTTAGGATTGTTTAAGCTGGTTCTTTGACCAGGGCTCCTTCAGCCATCTACTAATGGCTTTAGATTTGAAGCTGACTGGTTGTTGTAGGATATCAAATACATTGAACAATAAAGCTGGCCATACACATATTTCCCATGGATTCCTCCATTTATGCTAAACAGAGTGGATGGAAGACTCTTCCACTGCAAGTTGTTTTATCCTGAAAGCTGGACAGAAGAGAACAAGAAGGTGCTTCTAAGTGCAGTACATCCACATGTTTATTGGTGAAAATGGTTAAAACCACTTACAAAGGGTGTTAAGGCTCAGGCATATGAAAACGTCAATGCATGGCTCCTGTGACTGTGTCCTGGAGCTCACTGTGCCATCCAGCTCAGGTGCAATTCCAAGATGGCCACCGCTCTTCCTAGGCCGCCGTGGATTGCATGCCATCCATGTGGAATGCACGTCCCATGCTTTTTAGAGCATGCTCAGTTGCTCCTTCATCAAGATTGTCTTGATGAAGGAGCAACTGCGCATTCTCCAAAATGCGCCACCGCCCACCATTGATGTCACTTCCAGGACGTGCATTCCACACGGACGGCGTGCGTTCCACAGTGGCCCAGTGCCTTTTTGTTTACTTCTGTCCTGCCCAAAGTCTTCTACTCCTAGTGCCTATCCCCACTGTCTCCCTCCATTGGTCTCCAAGGCAGATGCGCCTTAAGAACTCCTCTTATCCTGAAAGCAGACACTCATGACGGTGAGAATACCCAAAATGTGATCACATCTGATGGGATGCGGTAACTATTTGGGTAACTTATCTATCTGGCCCTTCAATTTTACAGTCGAAGTCTTGTCAAGCCAGGTTGTGTTGGCAAGGTCACCAACATTAAATTTCATCCTATTCACAGAATTCAGCCAAAATCTGAGCCGTGTATAGCCAGCTAAAGTCAATTTGACTTCTTACTTCCTTCACTCCCTTTCTCTTGTCATGGATAGCACATTACTACCGTAAAAGCAGTTAAGTGATGCACATATCCTTTAAAGTTCATAGATTATTCTCAACATTTCCGTAGCCTGAATGCTTAAAAATATGGCATTCTTGGATGAGCTACAGGGCGAGGATTTATTACAAGGATGTCAACAGCACTCATTTATATAAGCAAAAAGAAAAAAGGCCAAAAGGAAACGGAGCTGCTGCCACAAATCAGCCAGCTTCAAGCTGTTATAATGTATCTCCAATATTTTGTGGACCCCTGACCATCATACATATATGAGCTTGTTGGACTTCCAATTGCGCTTCATTTGGAGACAGCTACTCCTTCTGGAAAGGCTCTCCAGAAGATTTTGAAGTGTGTCTGGGAATTTGTGCCCATTCAGCCAAAGGAGCATTCAAGGCCAGATATTTATTTTGGATGAGAAGACCATCCTTGCCACTGGTGTTCTAATCCTTCTGAAAGCTGTTTAATAGGGTTGATGTCAGGGCTTTGTGCAGGCCAAATCTTTATGTTACTTTGTGCACGGGATAAGTCATCATGGAACAGAAAAGGGCCATCTTCAAATGTTGCCACAAGGCTAGAAATACACAGTTGTACGCAATGTCCTGGTTCATGTGTGTGTCTGTGTGTGTGCTGCGTTTGATCGGGCACGACAGCCTATTCATTTGAATATGTGCCTGTGTTTCCACAGAAAAATGTGCATGCACCTTTTTTAAAACACCCGCATGAAAATTGCATAGTTCTTTTGACCATGTGATGTCCCTGCGGTTACTGCACCCGTTTTCATCGCGGACGTTTGCGGGTATCTCTGCAAATCCTGCAACCACCCCTAGATGTGAACCAGGGAAAACAGTCCCCGTCAGTGTAAACCCCTGCAGTCAACACATTGGAGAGGTGCCCACATAATTTTTACACAGTTGGTAAAGAACAGAAGAAATTATCTGGCTCATTGTTACAAGCAACCAGTATAATTTCACTTTGCTCTACTTTTGAGATATTTGCCTCTAATTATTGGGACCCAAAACACAAAGAAATCCAGTATCTATGCGCTGAGTACAGATCATTGTTAAGAAGCCCACCACCAACCTGTACGATTTGAAGCAATGGAGTCAGCCTGGGATGAGAGGCGCTGGGGCATAGGAGGCTCAAGCCCTGGAATGAGGCTCTCCACCACCGGTTCAGCTTTTCCTGGTACATCAAAGAAAGATTGCAGCAGAATACCAGCGTAGTGCAGAAAAAGAATGGAAATGATAGAGAAGGGAAATAGAACAAAAGAAACCGTCAAAGATTGAAAAGCCCAGAGTCAACAGAACATTTAGTGATACCACAGATGGGCAGATGTTTTACTAAAAGTAATAGGCAGGAAAACATCTGCCTGACATTCTTCACATCATTGGCACATGCCACAATTTTCTTAATGACTTGGCCACCACGTGGAAGGGGAAAATTTAAAGTGCAGTATTCCTTAGCAAGGGCTTCGAAGGCTCTATAAAGCTTTAACTTTTACAAGGCTTGATAGTCGCTTATTCATGAGATCTTAGGACAGGTTCTCTCTAAACGTAATTCTAAATAATCATAAAACCAGAAAGAAAAACAAAGAAACGCAGCGCCTCTAAGTGTGCACTGTGAAGGTATATAATAGAAAGATAAGTAGTAACTCACATCTTAGAATTTAAAAACAGGCTCATGGGTAAGAGGGTGAGACGTCTGTAGCCAGATGTTGTGTGTCTGATCCAGAGAGGAGAATGATTGAGTCAAGCTGCCTGATGAAAAAGCGTGCCTGGACTCATCTCGTCCTGCACATGCTGAGAAACACGTCGCATTTTGATTACGTCAGACGCTACATGTGCTGATCTCGGACATCTTGGAGACTCTGCCAGGCTCCACCATCCATGCTGCATATGCACAGCACCATCTGCTGGCAGACACCTTGGAGATTCCACCAGGCTTACCATCCATGTTGCACATGCACAGTACCACCTGCTGACGGACTCAATCGATTTCCTCTCTGGACCAGACACACAACAACATCTGGCTACAGACGTCTCACCCCCCTACCCATGAGCCTGTTTTTAAATTCTAAGATGTGGGGTTACTACTTATCTTTCTATTAAATACCTTCACAGTACACACTTAGAGGCGCTGTGTTTCTTTGTTTCCCTTCTGCAGAGTTATGCTTCGCTCCTACGCAGCTTGCCCTTAGTGCCTACTGGACTTATCCCTGCCTATTTGGAACTCATCAAACATACATGGACTGCCACACCATACACCTTTTATCCCTTTTGTATAAAACCAGAAAGACCCTGGTCACAAAGATGTAAGCATGCAGCATTTCAGTTTAAAACTTATTGGTCTGGCTGTACAGGTTAACTATTTAGGAGAGTAAACCTTCACGTGCTATTATATAAAATAAAAAAAAAGAGAAACATTTGACAGTTGCAAGTTACGATAATAACAACATAACTTAATTGGATTAAAGGATACAGAGCTCAATTCACTAAAGAATATCTCATGAGATAATTGAATCACATGACACATGGTTTTCCAATTATCTCATGAGATGCTGAAAATGTCAATTCACTAACACTTTGAGGTATTTTTATTTAAAATCAGTAAATTCACAAAAAAAATATGCCTTATTTACCGTATGCATTAAATATTTATGATTTGCAATATTTAGCCCTTAAATGTTGAGTTATTTTTGGTGTTGTTTTTTCACAATTTTTTTTTTTTTGCAGGCTTGCATTTCACCAGAATAAACAGCAATACTGTTAAACTAGGAAAACATTGTAATGTGCTTTCCTTCATAAAATGATCGCACTCTGATGAAATGTTACAATTTATTTTCATTCCTGAGCTCAGAGAACATTTTTACACTGATACATTGTATACTTTTCACTTTCTGGCCAGTGCAGAGTTCCTCCAATTGTTATTTTGTACATGTTTAAAATATTGCCAGCAAACACCTGTTGATAAATAACAAATGTCTGTTTTTTTAGTGAATTGACTTATTATGATATATCTCATGTTTTTTTTTTGCGGTATTTCACTATTTTTACAAATGTGCGGTATTTACCTCACATTCAATATTTTCTTTGATCAAATGACTCATATTATCTCATGCAATATTGCTGAAAAATTAGTCACGTGGCATGCGGCAACCTTTAATGAACTGACCCCGAGGTATTTAGGAATGTAAAAATATAACAGCCAAGTTGGAGGAGTCTCTATCTTTTTGGATCAATTTCTCAACAGTAATGCATAGAAACTACATAGAAATATGAAAAACACAGAATCACTGGAGTTGATTTACTTAAAGAAAAACTAAACGCAAAACTTCTTTTTTTTAGTTTTGGATACAGTGGAGAGGAATTAGACCCGTCAGGTTTTTATTGCTGTCTGTGTCCCCGTTAGGGAGATAAACTCTCTCTATTTGTCCCATTAACCATTATTATTAAAAGTGAAAGAAAACTCCAAATTTTGGGCTGTCCCCAGTAAAGTATGAGAGGAGAAATCTTCCAATGGGGACAACTTCTTTTGATGACCTGAGGGTCCTCAATGGATTCTTTTAATTTGCAGGGATTTCCTGTCACTTCCTGTTTTGGCTATGGGACAGGAAGTAAAGGGAAATTACTCCAATGACAAAGTTGTATTTTTTTTTCTTTTATTGGTGGAAGAAGGGTATTTATACAGTTAGGTCTATATATATTTGGACACAGGCACAATTTTCCTACTTTTGGCTCTGTATGCCACCAGAATAAATTAAAACGAAACAATCCAAATGAATTTGAAGTGCAGACTTTCAGATTTAATTCAAGGGGTTGAACATAAATATAAAGTACAAATTTTAGGAACTGCAATCATTTTTATACACAGTCCCTCCATTTTCAGGGGCTCAAATGTAATTGGACAAATGAATATAATCATACATAAAATGTTCATTTTTAATATTTTGTTGAGAATCCTTTACTGGCAATGACTGCCTGAAGTCCAGAACCCATGGACATTACCAAAGACTGGGTTTCCTCCTTTCTGATGCTTTGCCAGGCTCTAACTGCAGCTGTCTTCAGTTGTTCTTTGTGGGTCTTTCTGCCTTTAGTTTTGCCTTCAGCATGTGAAATGCATGCTCAATTCGGTTGAGATCAGTTGACTGACTCGACCATTGCAGAATACTCCACTTCTTTTCCTTCAAAAGCTCCTGGGTTGCTTTTGCAGTATGTTTTGGATCATTGTCCATCTGTACTGTGAAGCGCCATCCAATCAACTTTGCTGCATTTAGCTGAATCTGGGCTGACACTATATCTCTAAACTCTGCAGAATTCATCCGGCTGCTTCTGTCTTCTGTCACGTCATCAATAAACAACAATGATCCAGTGCCACTCGGAGCCATGCATGCCCATGCCATCACACTGACTCTACCATGTTTTACAGATGATGTTGTGTGCTTTGGATCATGAGCTGTTCCAAGCCCTCTCCACACTTTTTTCTTCCTGTCATTCTGGTGCATATTAATCTTCGTTTTATCTGTCCAAAAAATGCCTTTCCAGAACTGGTCTGGCTTTTTTAGTTGTTTTTTTTTTTTGGCAAAGTCTAATCTGGCTTTTCTATTATTCAAACTTATGAATGGTTTGGTGAACCCTCTGTATTTGCTCTCTGGAAGTCTTCTCAATTGTAGACTTTGACAATGATACGCCCACCTCCTGGAGAGTGTCCTTCACTTGTCTGGATGTTGTGAATGGGTTTTTCTTTACCACAGAGAGAATCCTGCGGTCATCCACCACTGTTGTCTTCTGTGGGCCATCCATGCCTTTTTATGTTGCTGAGCTCACCAGAGTGGTGTTCTTTCCTCAGAATGTACCAAACTGTTGATTTGGCCACTCCTAATGTTGCTGCTATCTCTCTGATGGATTTGTTTCATTTTTGAAGCCTTACAATGGCCTGTTTCACTTGCATGGACCGCTCCTTTGAACGCATGATGTAGGTTTACAGCAATAGATTCCAAATGCAAATATCACACTTAGAATCAACTCCAGACCCTTTACCTGCTTAATTGTTGAAGAAATAACAAAGGAGTAGCCCACACCTGGCCATGAAACAGCTTTTGATTCAATTGTCCAATTACTTTTGGTCCCTTGAAAAAAGGGGGATGGCTACTCTTAAGAGCTGTAATACCTAAGCCCTTCCTCCATTTTGGATTTACATACCCTCAAATTAAACCCGACAGTGCGTACTTTCAGCCCATATCCATTATATAAATATAGCTTGAATATGTTTTGGTAAATACCTGAAAAAACTAAAAATTGTGCCTATGTCCAAATATATATGGACCTAACTGAATACGTATATCATTTGTTTATACTCTTTTCATTCAATTTTCGACATTTAAAGATAATTTGTATTTACTTAATTTAACAAAGATGTTTTTGATACAACACTTGTCTCCTACGCAAGCAGCTTCCCTTTGACTAGTATTCCAGTCACCTTTTTTTTCTCTTTTGTATTAATACATATGCTGCACGGACCTCACTGAGTGAGTTGTCCTATTTCTACGGTTTAAACCATCTTACCTATTTGTTAGCACTAAACATTTACAGGGTTTCTGATCCTTCTCCACTGTGTCCATTCCATGAGGAAAAAAACTGAATGGTTTTCTGAGTAAAATACTTTAAAATCTCAGATAAAATAACTCAAAATTGTAAAGAGAAAAATAACTTTTTGTGAATTCAGCCCACAGAGAGAGGACTGGTCTCTCTCTACCTGATATTTTTATAATTATGTCCTATAGTTACACATGACATTTTACGTTCTTGATTTAAATTATTATGTATATGTGATCCTGCTCTCCCAGGGCTTTATTTTAATTTTATAGAAAATACCAGCATTAAAACACTACCCCCTATCCAGGTTGCCAAAATTTTCACCATAGCTTTAAAGGGTCATGACACATACATTGCAAGCTGACTTACATAAAAGAGGTTTTTATAACATTCATAGATGAAGGTGTAAACATTACAGATTATATGAATGCAAATTATAATGGCATTATTATATTTTTGTTTAAAGTGGAACAATACTCACCTCAACTTCAGCGATGAGGCTTTCTCACGTGCGAGGGAGTTCAGACAGATTGCTGAATTTGTACAGCTCACTGTGCAGGGACAGACAGGCAGGTAATTAGCTTTAATGCAGAAGAGAAAGCATGTTTCTTCTACATTAAAAATCTCGCCTGTCCATCGATTTTAATGCCGTAGCCCAAAGTCCCACTTTAAGGTGGTAAGAGGAAAGATTTTCAAACACACAACTGAATGTCCTGTCCTGTAATCCTAAAGAAAATACTATCAACTGTCATTCTGCTACAAACTTTTGCCTACATGGGAGTGAAGACAGAATAGTTTATGTGTAGACATTAAATAGCTTTCAGGACCCATTTACATCTTAACGTTCTGTTAAAATGTGTTATGTCATGCACTAATGTGCACTGCATTAAGACAGCAAATGCACTCAAATGGGCTTCCAATGCACCACAATGGACATGACCTATATTTTCAGTGAATGCAGTACACCACAATGCAAACCATATGTGCTGTGCTGCCTTGCAATGTGAATATGGTGCCCGCAACTGTATTAGCGCATTGGGTGACACTGAAAATAAATGCAAATGCAATGCAACACACCATAGTACTAGCCTGCTGTGTGTTGCAATAAAACACGTGGTAAAACATGCATAAGTATGAATAAGCCATAAACCTTTTTAATAGCTCTTTCACATAGGGTTTGATGTATTAAAGGGAAACTGACTGCGCAATTTGCAAGTGCTGTTGCACTCTCCAAGTGCAGTTGCTCCAGAGCTTAGGAAATGAGGTAAAGCTTCACTTTGCAAAGAATATCCAATCATGTGGAAGGAAAATAATAAAAACTGCATTTTGCTTGCACACGATTGGATGATGGAAGTCAGCAGCGTTTTCCCTCACTTACTAAGCTTTGAAGCCAGGGCACTTGCAGAGTGCAACTGCACACTGCAACATGCAGTCTATTTGCCTTAGTAAATAAACCCCATAATGCCCCAGTTGCCTGGCTGTCAAAAACAAGAATTCAACAGGAACAACGACAATGCAGTCAGAACTAGTAGACTATGCGTAAAATAATGAGGCCACAGAGTCAACATGACAGGCAGGCAACTAGCAGTTTTAGAAGTTGGTCAACAATGGCAGCCTACACATTTCTCTTTTTTTGGATAGCGCTGGGATACATTAAAAGAGACCCTATCAGGCCTCTAAATGTTCTAAACTAGCACATCCCCTGCAGTAGAAGACAATGCTACCTCAGAAAACCTCTTTGAGATTCAACACTTTATGCTGCTTCTTTCAAATCAGCCCTATACATCACTGCAGAGTGCTTCCATTGACCCCATATGCCACAGAAGAGTGCTTCCATCGACCCTAAACACTACTGTACAGTCCTGCAGAGAGGTAGGGCTCAATGGGAGGAACCAGCACATGACAGGGAACACAGGCATCTGACATTCCTGCGTGTTGAATGCCAAAGAGGCTTTGCAAGGCTGAAGCTCTGAAACAGAGACGTAGAAGAAATAGGATGCCGGAGATGTGAGCATACACTTTTCTCTATTGCAAGGACCTGCCAACTTTAAGCATTTAGAGATCTGAAAGGCTCTCACTAAGAGCAAATTACTTTTTCTGGCTTGAGTTTTGCAAAAGCCTTAGGTATGTCAAGGAAACACAAGGCTTTCTGTTGTCCATGGTAAAGAGGCATACTTTAATGGCAATCATGAACTGTCTAGTCTAAGAACCCCATTTCTCAGTATTTACCATTCACAGCCTCGGAGGTGCTCCCAAAGGGATCTGCCAGTTGTACAAGGTGAGGAAGCAGAAGCTGGGGCTCTGGAGATTTGAGACCCTCAATCAATTTTTTCTGGGTCAGGTAAAAAGAAAATGAGAGACGGGTGGGAGGATACAAAAGAACATTCATAAGTAGGCAGCAAAGCTTAGGAGATAACACGCATTAAGAGGCAAAAGGGATTGTGTACATAGCCAGGATATAGTGCACTAAGCTCCATTTGTCAAACTGTATTTTGGTTAAACATTCTGTACAGACCTACATCACCCAGTTAGGTTCAGTAGTCCTTAGCAAGTTTAAGTACCCATTCACATTACTGCACTGGGGTAATGCAATCATTACAGCACTCCAACACAAGGATACACTATCAAAAATGATACGTGTACCTTTCTTGATAAAATTTGATTGTGTTGGGTAGTCAATTTAAACAAATGGCCTGCCGTAAAGCAACATACCTTAACCACTTGCCCTCCAAAGGATTTACCCCCCTTCCTGACCAGGCCATTTTTTGCGATACGGCGCTGCGTTACTTTAACTGCGCAGTCATGCAACGCTGCACCTAAGTGAAGTTTATGTAATTTTCCCCTCACAAATAGAGCCCTCTCTCTCTCTGGTATTTGATTGTCTCTGGGGTTTTTATTTTTTACGCTATAAAATTTATTTTAAAAAGTCTGAAAACTTTGAGAAAAAAAAAAAATATTTTGGACTTTGTGCTATTAAACATGTCCAGTAAAAAATAAAAAAAAAATCAAATTTAGTCCAAAATGTATTCTGCTACATGTCTGCTAAAAACAAATCCCAATACGTGTAAATTAATTGGTTTGCGTGAAAGTTATAGCGTCTACAAATGGCGGTATAGATACTGGAATTTTTTTTTCTTTTATACTAGTAATGGCAGTGATCAGCGACTTATAGCTGGACTACGGCAGGCATTCTGACACTGGGAGGGGTAACAGGCACTGACATTCCCAGTGACAAATAAAAAGCACTGACACTGTACTAATGACACTGGGCAGAAAGGGGATAACATCTGGGGCAATCAAAGGGTTAACTGTGTGCCATTTTACTGTGTGCTTTACTATGTAACCACATTGCTTTGTATTGTGCAGAGCAATACAAAACAATGTGCAGGAAATGACAGGGGAGAGATTTGTATTGTTTACATACAGGTCTCTCCCCCGTCTGTGATACACGGCAATCGCCGAGTGCCAGCTGGGAATCACTGGCCGTGACCCAGTGAACAACAGGTGAGGCCACTAATGGCGGTGTGGGTAGGGCACGCACGCCCCCTACCCAGAAATCCAAAATCAAGTATATACACGTGATTTTGAGCACCCTTGCCGCCCTGTAGCAGTATTTCTGTTTTAGGGTGGCGGGAAAGCGATTAAAGTGTGCTTGCTAATGCACTGCAATGATGTGAATGAGCCCTTCGTCCAACTGGTTACTGTGAGAAATTACAGAAAGTTCTTAAGTAGGCCCAGAGCATTCTTCAATAGTTTTGGATTTCAAACACTACAAAAAAATACAAACTAATGAACCTTAATTATCTACAATAGTAAAAGTCAGTACTGTAACAATTAAGGATTAAAACTTTTGGTTTCCTCTATTTTCCAAGGCAGGTTTGAACTTGATTGGATAATACATGGCAGCCCAGGTAGTTATTGCTCTTGACACTTTGATAAATGGGAGACTTTGTGACTACATGCAGAGTTCAGCAGTTTCTGGCTTATGAAAACCAATTAAAGCACAACCAAAGTCTCACACTTTTACAGTCTTGTACTTTCACATGTGCTTTCTGCTTTGTAAAGGCTTTTTGCTACAAAATGCCTTAAAATAAAATGTCAGTTTAATTGCTCTACTGATTTCTGTAATGCACACACCACATGAGACATTTACTGGTATGTCCTTAAATACCAATTACAATGCAAAATAATGAAACATATAAAATAAAATGTTAATGCTGCCTCCAACCTTCACTCTGCAGTACCATATTGCTGACAGAACTAAGAGCAGCCACAACCCTCAGCACAAGGGTCATCACACTCAGACATATTGCAGTGTAGAAGAGGGGGCACATCTGACCATGTTCGTTAAATTACAAAGTCGAACTCTGGCGTTTTTGAGACGGCACAGTAATTTGTAGACACCCTCCATAACTGCTACAGGAAAGTGGCAGTTGTTAGTTTAAAATCTGTTTTACTGCATATATATCTGAAAAATGTCTGCTGAAGAAATCTGAAATCACAGACTGCCCATGCAGATATATATTGGTGTGCTATGAGAACTAAAATATCTAAACAGATATTCACCAAAACAATGTTAATATTAGATTGTAAGCTCCAAAGAGCAGGGCTCTCAATCCCCTCATGTTTTGCATTGTATTGGTATTGTTCTGTCACATGTTCTGTCCCGCTTTGTAATGTACAGCGCTGAGAGAACTATTGGCGCTTTATAAATACTGTATAATAATAATAATAATAATAATAATAATATTAGGACAAGAAAGAGCACGCCAAATTAACCTCTTTACTTTAAGATACCTAGACCTTGCCTTGAATAACCATTCCAAAGACTGACCATGACTGGACAAATGGGCAATCAGACTAGTTGTGAATTTTCATTTGTTCATTGACAGACTAGAATGGTATGTGGAAATGTCTACGGACTACATTTGAAAAACCAATGAAATGTAACTTGATCAGGAAAGCTTTGGATAGCATTGGATTTTTGGATCTCTACAGTCTGCAGATAGTATTGTGACTTAGAATAAAAAGGTGCAGATGCTATGTATGTATTAAAGTACAACCACCTAACTTTCTACCATTAAGCAAACAAGCATTTCCAATGTGTAAAGTTAAGCAGGCCATAGATGGATTGAATCTCGGCCGGTACCTGCTGAACTGGCTGAGATTGGATTCAACTATGCACAGGGTGATTGTATCCAAGTCAATCTTTCAATCAAATTGGGTACAATCAGCATGTCAGATTTTAAATATGCGATTGTCAGCGGCTATAAGCGCTAGCAAAAATCATTATGTTTTCCCTGCAGGGACAGTTTCCCGTGCTCCCCGGGGAGAACACCATAGTTCCACGGGAGAGATCTCCCCATCAACACTGACTGTGTAAATGGGGAAATCAAACAATTGTCTTTCCTGCAACACATGGTTGCAGGAAAGAAAATCACATAATCTATGGCCTGCCTTGCTTTAACTAGAATATCATAAGCAGGGACGCCTTAACATACAAAACCCCAAAGCCATATTCAGAAATGAGCACTATGATAAAAAGGCATGCCTTTACACATAATACTACAGTGCAGGTCTGAAAACACGATGCCATACATTCTAAATGACATCCCACCACAATGCAAAGATGCAACTGATCTGTGCGTTGTGGTTCTCTGCAATTTAAAAACCACAGAAAAAAAAAAAAAAAAGTGTGCACTAAAACTTGCAATATCATTCTTGGGCAGTCCATTCAAAATGAATGGACTGCCATATCAACATGCATCTGGCAATGCAGCACAAATATCTGAATATACTCTAAAGCTGCCAAACTGATTATACAATTTAAAATGCATGGACTGCCTTATCACAACACATGTTGACATGCATCTGGTATTGTAGCAGAATTGTCTGCATATACATGAAAGCTGGCCTTCTGATTATACAATTCAAAATGGATGGACTGCCTTATGACAATGCATGTTAACATGCATCTGGTAATGCAGCAGAAAGGTCTGAATATACTCTAAAGCTGGCCTTCTGATTATACAGATTTGTACAAACTACTTTAGATTTACCAATAGCTATGTAAATGAAGGACCCATCCAAACAATCCACTTCATTTACAAGCAATCAAGCTGTCCCTTCCACCCTGTAATTCTAGGTATAAAGATCTATGAAGACAATGAGAGTGGCCAGCTTTAGTGTTGGTTATTATGGCATCCACTTCAGAGCACTGCAATGACAGCTGTCACCATGAGCATACTCTTTTGGCACAAACAACTTGTTGGGTAACATTTAAAAAAAAAAGTCAAAAACCATCCCTGTCCTATTTATAAAAGGTCAACACACTTTAATCTTTATAGGGTGGCAGGTATCACAGTAACACAGAGCCACAATAATTCCTTCATTTGTCACTTTGGTGTTGTATATACAATGGACTGAAAACTACAGGGATGGTTTATAATAAGTAGATCAAAGGAAACGTGAGCTGTTACCCACAGAACCCAGACTTCACTTCCATGTTAGATGTAACAGCTAAAAACCTGAATGGGGAGGTCCCTTTGCTATGTCATAGTTTCCATAGATTGCTTCCTAAGACTTTTCCTATACCATCATGAGGCTTTCTTTAACTACCAGATGTGATTTTATGCTCACTAGACAAAAATAAAATCAAAGCCATATTACAAATTAAAAATGAGATGCACATTTGTGGCTGTGCAACTAACACTGAAGAGACGCAATGGAAAAGTATGAGCGAAGTAAACAAATCCTTATAAGCAGCATCAGATATCCTGCTGAGTGATGGTTTCCTGATCACTGTGTTTTACCTGGAGCATCAGACAGAGGGAGAGGTAAGAATGGGTCAGGCGTTTTGTGCAATGGAGGGCTGGGATCCTGACCCTGAACATCTACAGGTTTATCCGCAGCTGGAAAACACATGGAAGAAGCAGAGTAGAAAAACAGAAAAGAGAAAGGCAAGTGAGACAGATAGTTGAGAAGTGGCAGACGCATACAGAGCCTCCAAGGTCCCTCACATTACCATTTAATGTACAGGCAACATGCAGAGGCTTAATTAATTGGCACAGTGGGCCTTTTCTTACAACACTCCAGATTTTAAGAAGTAACCAATTTTATAGTTAGTATAAGTCCAATTAAGATTTCAGTTGTAGGTATTACATTCCAATAATTATGCTTCTTGCTTATTTCTGCATATAATAATCATCTTCTTCAGCACTGTCTACAGCCAAAATTATAACTCTCTCAAATAAGCTTAGTCATTTTTTTTTCCAAAGGAATCTGTCACCAGTGAACAAACACGTCTCAGAATTACATTCCATTTAACTACTCTTAAAATAAAACTTGTTCTTTGCAATGCAGGGCAAAGCAACAAGTTCCCTATAAAGTGATCACATGGTCACTTCTACCCACAGGGCAGCCTGTAATAGAAGAGGCAACACACTTGCCTTTCTATAGCTGTCCATGTGTTGAAAAGCAGTCGCATCTCTGGTCCCAGGTTAATGCAGGCATCCAACATTCTGAAGGGGCCAAATATGTGCTACTCCCGCTGCACACTGTGGTTTCGTGTAGTGACGCACAAGCTGGCGGGAGAAACCACATCATGCAGCAGGGTAGCGGCGGGCATTGTACACACCCTGAAGTATGGAATACATGCAGTAGCTGGGGAGAACCAAAGTAGTGGCTTTTCAACACACGAACTGCTGAAAAATTAAGTATATTATTTATCACTTTAAAGGACTCTCACCACCCATGTATATTTACTTTCTCTTCATTCTGCTTCCTCTCTGTTCGATTGCCTACAGCAATGTATAATACTTTCATGTATGTCATTCTCCCCATAAAGCAGCACTGGGTGCCTAAGCAGCCAATCCCTAGACACTAGCATTGTCACAAGGGAGTGGGGGGAGAGTCCTTAGCCCTGTGTAAGCTCCAATCACAACACATTGGCACTTTTAGACTGTGTAAATAGAAAGGTATGGGAGCAAAACAAAATGTAGGTAGAAGCAGTGTGTGTGTTGGGAAGGGGGGGTCACCATTTAGGTGCACTTTAAGTTGGATACTACAGTAGTAACAGGACAATGATTCCCAACATACTTCAAAGCCAGTGACATAATGAACCTGGAACTAAACAGCTCAAAAAATAGGCACGTCCATTGGAGAACTGACTGTATTTCTGAGACAGGTTTGTTGACAGGTTCCTCTTAATATACTTTATTTAATTAAAGCCTTGAGAACCAGTCACAACCAAGTTTATACAGACATCTAAATAGTCTTTGTTTTCTGATTTTGCAAGCTTAAATATGGAAGGTTTGATTTTGATATGGAGTCTGATATCTCAGCTGGAGTGTCAGAGGGTTAGCGGTCATAAGAAATCTGGTCATCGCAGATCATCCCAGCAATAGCAGCGCCAGTATTTTTATTGTGATAGGTTCCCAATAAAACCAGCTGCAGGGTACAAATCAGACAAAAAGGCCAGACTGATTGAGGATTGCTTTTAGTGAAATGTATAAATCACCATTTATAACTGGAGATTAATGTATCACCTGTTCCACTGGAAAACAGAGAAGGACCAAAGGTATCCGCTTGAGACACAGCAGGGGGGGCTGGAAAGCCTGACAGGAGGTCCTCCGTTGAACTGCTCAGTTGCTCTGGTGGTTTACCTGACAAGAAGAGAGAAGGAAATGAGAGGCAGCACCAAAAGAAAGGAATAACAATGCACTAGAGGCACCAAAGACTCAAAAAGCCTTAGAAGCTGTTCTGTTTCCCTGAAAGGACAATACACATAAATTACAAGCTGATCTGGAGAATATAGCTCTCAATATCAATGCCAATATATATTCAGGTGCAAAGGAGGTATCTGAGATAAACACAGTACTGTGGGAGAAGACACTACAGTATTCCTGCCTGGATGTTAAGCAATGGTCAAGTTATGGACATATATTTAACAAGCAATAAAATGGCTTTAAAGAGACACCATTATCTTACCAATGCAGGGTAAAGTGACATGGTCTCTGGCCCCACCTCCATATACTCACTGTAACTGTTCTCTTTTGCAGGTCTTATCTGGTGAGAACACTCTGCACGTTTGGGTATAGGGTAGAATATGACCTGCTCCCTTGTGAAGATGCCTGGGCCTAGCAGTCAATTGCTAGGCCTGAGTACAGTCATGTGGCCAGAGCAGTGATGACATCCTCTCCCCCAGGGCCCAACAGAGCCCATCTTGCATTGGCTGCAGAGAATAAGGAGCTGCAGGGGAGCACAGGAAAGGGGATTATAAGGAGGGTAAGGTATGCCTTTTCCAGTGATACGGTTACTTTGCCTGCATGGGCAAGTGGACAGTGTTTTTTAAAGCCTCACTGATCTCTGTAGCTGCATCCATTGTGAAACAAGTTCACAGCAATAGCCCTGAAGTTGTTCAAGTTACTCTCTGAGCCACTCAACTCACTTTGGCTGCCTTCGCTCAGCAGTGACTTGGTAAAATTCTAATCTTTACTGTTAAGTAAGAGCAGAAGCTCTGGGACAGGGAGAAGGGTGTGCTGGGCTGTCAGAGTGAAAAACATGCACCTGCAAAGGTCAGTGTGGGATGTTTTTAAAGAGGAGTTACTGCTTGATACAAGTATATAAACCCTGTACAACTGCTACTGGGAGCTGTAATCTAAATGAAATCTAAAAGAAAGAAAACACAAGACAGAAAGAAAATTTCTGACCTCACAAGATATAGGATATAAGATGGTATGCATGAATGGGAGGTGGAGTGTCGTAGGAAAATTATGGTAGCATTGTACATCCCATTCAGACGCAGACCTCCATATCACAGAAATAAACACTAACAGTAGACTCTCTTACTCTCTCCCAGTTTAGCAAAGTCCTTGTTTAAAAGTTCTTCAGCAGTAAGTTTTGAGAAGTTATCATCATCAAAAGGGTTCCAGCCAGAAGGCTCCGGGGGATTGTGGACATTCTGCTGAGAAGTCCTTGGTGAGCCAGAGGGGGTTGTTGTAGCCGACCTAGACGTGGGGGAAAAAAAAAACAGAGTGCAGGCTAATTATTTCTACACAAGTAAACTAATAAAGAAAACTTTAAAAATTAACCTGAAATATAATGTATCCCTAAAAAGACAGGAATGCAGCCAACAGTGTGTGATGATGGGCCTGACTGCAGCAATATTAGGGTTCCTACCAAACAGGATTATCTTAGCAGCTACAACAAAGATCTTGCATGTGAGGACAGCACTTGGCGTCCATTATGCCTGAAAATCTCGAGTTGGTCAGGAAAATAATTTTTTGGTACTAATCTTTTCTTTCAAGGTTTGACGTAAGAAAAGGGAACATCAGATGGGTGATTCAACGGACTATTTGAATATCCCTAAAGTCTAGGATAAATATAAAGCTTCCCCGTGTAACAGAATGGATTTGTATTTAAAATCAGCCAATACAGAATAAGTACCTAGGAACAATCTGTAGATTTCAATCGCACAGAGCCAATTAAGAGATACCCCAACGTCACTATCACAGACCTAATGTCTTAGAGTGGACAGGTTGACAGCCTTTGCTTTACCCACTGCTCAGCTTCCCCATGGGGAAAAATTTGGGTTGCAGAAGCTAACACCAGAGTATACTTCCCTAATTTCAGGAGCTCTGGTTCTAAAGGCCCAAGATTTTTACCTACATGTATTCTATGCATGAAGGTATAAAACCTCTGTTCAGCAGCCCCCCCCCAATACTCACCTAAGCCCCCTGTTGATCCAGCAATGTGCACTGGAGACTCGGCTATCCCGGGATTCTCTCTCCTCATTGGCTGAGACAGCCATTGGCTCCCACTGCTGTCAATCACAGACTGAGAGCTAATAAGAAGAGAGAAGGGGCAGAGTCGAGCTGCTTGCTGTGGGGGCACCCCGACAGGAGGAAGGGACCAGGAGCGTTGGTGGAGGGCCCGAGAAGAGGAGAATCCCGGCTGCTCTGTGCAAAACCAATGCACACAGCAGGTAAGTATAGACATGTTTGTTATTTAAAAAAAAAATGAAGTACATTTGGTCTTTAGGTCATTCATCTTCTGATGTAATTGCTGCCTCCTGCATCACTGTCTAACAAACTGGTACCATCACTTTTAAACCAGGAATTAGCAGAGGGATCATAATGACCAGAAGCGGTGGGTGTGGGTGTATGTTACTAAACTGGCTGGCCATATTTAACATTGCTTTGGCAGGTAAAATAGTGAACATATATGCAATTAAAGTGTGTATAAAGCTGTTTGCCTGGTGTCTCATGCCAATGGTGTATAATGCGAAAAAGTATGTATTTTTACGGCAGAGTAATATCTGTTAAATGTTTAATTTTTCACATCATTCTGAACCAGGCTAAAAGCATATGAATGTCAAGGTATGACCCCACACTCCATAGAGTCTATATCACCACTTGAAGATTGCATAGGATTTACCCAATCTCCCAGCCTACGTTTATACATGCTATTTAGCTGTGCCCAGTGGTTCAGTCTTTTTAAAGATTGTTACTGAGTGTATACGTAACTGTTCATCGATATCTGCACCATTAACAGTGGATGTCTGCATTTTGAGTTTGGTTCACTTATTGGCCACATCTACAGCAATGAGAACATTCATAAGTCTATTTGTTATTCTATGCTCGCAAAGCTATTTTGCTTAAACGAAAGTCTCCAACAGTGCCCACACTAGACTTTTGGAAAAAAACAGGTCAACTCAGCTGTACCATTTTACAAACATACTTATAAATCCAGGGGTTGTCCTAAAAAATGTTTCCAAAATCTGGGATATAAGGGTGGATTCATCCACAACAACTCCTTCAGGTGACCCATGATTTCTCTCAAGTCATTCTTTGAAGTAGCACCTACTTAGTGTAGAATGCCTGCCAACAGTTTTTTTTTTTTTCTTTTACATTATAGATATTTAAGAGCTGTACCTAGTATGTATACCTGCTAGGCACTTCGTTTTAGTGCTTCAGCACCTTATTTTTGGTTTTTCTTTTCTATGTAATTGTATAAGCCTGAGTATGGCCAATAAGCTTTGTTTTGCAACTTTTACTTCAAAAAACAAATACAGAGAATTAAAAAAAAAAAAAAAAAAAAAAAAAAAAAAATAAGTATGACCGCAGACACACAATGTATAGAAAATTATTTTCTCACTTTGACTTATTGAGATTGGCTTCAGCAGCTGCAGCCTGGAGAAGCTGAGTGGATTTGCTAGCAGGAACACCAAAGACAGCACTGTGTGTAACATCACTCAGTATCCTCCTGTGTCCTCCACGCTGGGTCTTCGGAGAGGAAGGAGGAGTAAGGGACCCTAATTTAGGCCCTGCACTGGGCTGTGTTGTCGCTGGCTGCGATTTCTGGGTAGTCCTTACAGGAGCTTGGATCTGCAATGCACAGGAAAATTTTTTTTTTACTATCAAGAGCAAAAATATTAACAAAGAAGAATAGAGGTGTGATGGCAGAAAACGACCAAGTGGTCCATCGAGTTTCCCATTTTTATTGCTTTGCTTTTTTAAACTTTTCTGTCCACGTATAGGTCTACAGTATGTTTGTCCCAAGCATGATTAAATTCAACTCATTACCTCGACTGCAAGTTTGTGCCAAGTATCAACTACTCTTTCACAAAGATAGAGATCCATTATTAGCAATTTAACACAATAAGCAATGCAAATGACTGCCAAAGCAAGTTAGATCATCCTTGTTCTCCTTATTATATTACTTTCTAATATTGTGGGAATAAAAAAGAATGACCATTCAATAATTGATAGCACCCAATTCAATACCTTCCTAGGAACAGCTAATAGCCAAGTAAAGTGCTTACCTAAAACCAACTGTTATGAGGTGGACTGACTGCTAGACGACTGACTGCCACAAATGCTTATTCATTTCTATGACTATCCATGTCAGCAGCCAATTCACAGTTAAGAACATCCAATGTCATGCTACAGGATGTTAACTTGCACAGCTCTAAGCAATACAATGATCTGAGGACTGTAAATAACCACGGTGTCTAACCTAAGAGCTTAATTTGGCTTGAGAATTAAGTCTACCATCTTTGTTCAAAGATGGCTTACCAAACAAGTCTGAACAATTCATAACAGTGGGATAACTGAGCTGCCATGTGGCAAAGCCTGCAATCAGGAACTGCTAAACCACAGAAGTGAAAATGATTATAGAATACTGATTAGCAGTAGATGTGCTTTACACTCCGCTTTCTTCAGCAGTAAGAATAAAGACATTTAAATTAATAAACATATTACCACTCCGTCAACATCACTCACCCCTTGGTCCTGGGCAGCAGGCACCTGCACAGTGGCTGGCACCGGTTGAGGCTGAGCAGGTAAGGGGGTCTGCATTACAGCCTGCTGAGCAGGTAAGGGGGTCTGCATTACAGCCTGCTGAGCAGGTAAGGGGGTCTGCATTACAGCTTGCTGAGCAGGTAAGGGGGTCTGCATTACAGTTTGCTGAGCAGGTAAGGGGGTCTGCATTACAGCTTGCTGAGCAGCTTTCTGTTGCATCGCAGCCTGCTGGGCCATCAGCTGCTGCTGCTGCTGAAGGTAGTAGGCCTGGATCATCTGCTGCTGCTGCATGGCTTGTATCTGTGGGATAAAATAAAAGCGAGATCTGAATCACATGATAAGCAACTACAAAAATCCATACACATTTGTTTTAATACTTAACTTGTTTGAATAGAATTCTAAGAAACATTTTAACCATGCCTTCTTTGCATTAAAGTCGTGCACCTACACTTTTCTCATAAGATAGACGCCACCATCCAGTCTCTCATTGAGTAAGCAAACAATTACTGCTGCCCAAGTAATTCATAACTGCTCCTACAAGGTGATGACACCTGCTACGCTCAAGTCCTCTTAGGACAGTAAATAAAACTATCTAAGGTGTGACAGCCAGTAGGTAAGTTTGCTGGCATTGTAAACAATAGATCTGTATACATTGAAGCTACAGTAGATGGAAGCACAATTCACATATAGGCATTTTGAATCGCAGGCAAAAGTGCTGCAATTTTGTCCGCAACTTCAAAAAGCACTGTTAAAATGTCAAATCCCACATCAGCGTATTAAGGTGCCATTCATTTCAATGGCACCTAATTATATGGGGAGATTCTGCCATGACTGTCGTGTGACAAAGCGCGCTGCAATTGCAAAAAAACTGCAAAACCAAATCGTGCGACACGTATCGCCCAAAAGTTCTGAACATTTTAACAGCGTGTTTTGAAATTACGGCAATTCAAAATGCCTATATGTGAATGGAGCCTGAGTAAGTTCATAATGCTCTGAAGTCAGCACAAGGCCCCATTCACACTTGCGTAATTTGTAGCTCAAAAAGCAAAACCTATTGTTTTCAATAGACCTTGTTCACATCTGAGCATCCTGTCTCTTGTAGCAAAAATACCTGTTGCTCATAAAAGTGCGAGCTACTTTTTAGGGAGAATTGAGCGTTTTTGCCCCCATAGACTTTAATTGAAATGCGACCAGAGCTTTTTTGAGCGTTTGGTCACAGCAGCTTTTTTTTCAGCAGCACTCCGCACCTTTTAGTTGAAAAACACCTGAAAAAGAAAAACACCTGACAAAATCTGCAAAAACGTGCAGCTCCAAAAAACACTCAAAACTGCTTGAAAAAACTGCTAAAAGATATGCTGACAGCCAGAAATATTCATGGTACAGTCTTATTGCTGGAGTCCCCCATATAAAATAGTTGACATATCTCAGCTATCCAGTGTCCAGCCATAACTAAAATATTACTGCTTGGTGGACTAACACTTTAATATGTAAGTAATAAAGGGTGTTTTGCATGTACACAAATATAAAATGTTCACCTGCTGCGCCTGCAGCACCTGTTGCTGATATAGTGCTGCTGCCTGTTGTTGTTGAAGAAGTTGCTGCTGCTTTAGATACATTTGCTGCTGCTGTTGTTGTTGCTGTGGAAGAGGTGCAGGCTGAGCCGCCTGTGCTGCTGGGGTCTGCAGAGCTGCTGCAGTTTGGGCTGTGGTGGTCACTGTGGCATTAGGCTGTGGGGAAGGCTGAGCAGGCTTCACCTGCTGTTGGGGCTGAGCCACTGGTTTTACAGCAGGCTGAACTGCAGGAGGGGCTGTGGGCTGAATGCTTCCTGCTGGACCTAAAACAAAATCAGTATGACAAAATTCAGAAATATTTCGACTTCAACTTCAGAAAGAAAAGAACTGTCATGACAAACAAACATACCAGGGGTGGCAGCAGCAGGCTGAACAGTAGGCCTTTTCCTTGGTGTCAGAGCCGGCTGAATTGGAAGTATCCCCGGGTTCGGTTGAGTCTGACCAGCTTTGGGTCTCTGGCGAGGTGCAATGGAGGTTTCAGTTGTTGGAACCGGATCAGTGAGCCTGTAAATTAGAACAGTGGAAAGTTGTCATGAACAATCACAAATTTAAAAAAAAAAAAAAACTAATTCTGTGCACAAACCGTGCAATTTTCATAATAATATTACGAAAAGTAAACAAGCCCAATTCAAAACAAGCTGTCTACATAAAAGCGAACAGAGCATGGACTGGAAGGTCCGTGCCAGAGTGGCACCTACCGGGCCTTCGGCTGGGTTTTCTTAGCAGCAGCTTCTCCCGCTTTCACTGGTTCAGGGAGTTTTGCAGGGATAGCAGAATCCTAAGCAATTAGAACAAGAGAAAAATCAAAGGTCGACTTATCCTCTCTTTTTTCAAAGAGTTTTTATTAATGCCTGCATGTTGTTGCTTTATGTAACCGATTACAATGATCCAGCCATTTCTTCGGGATGGAATCATTTATAATATTTTAGTGGATATTCAGTAGTCTTATACACACACACACACACACACACACACACACACACACACACACCCCCCCCCCACACACACACAGTTGGCAATGTATTGGCCTTCTACTTAGATATGGACATATGCATGCTTGCTTCTTTACATGTACACAAACTTCTGTCACCGACCCTTATACTATCACTATAGCTAAAATTACTACGAAGTGTTAAAAGGCAGAACAAATTCTGGGCTATTTGTAGAACCAATTGTTCTGAGCACTCCACTAACCAAGAGCCTGCAGAAAAAGCAGCTTATTTTTGTTGTGGAGCACGTTTCAAACACAAAGCCCACTGGCCGAATCCAGCTCACCAGGCCATTTCCTATGTCCCTCACACCCATCCTGCAGCTGCGGAACCCTCCTCGTTTCCACCCCTCCGCAGAGAGGACACAACTCCTATGCCAGATCCTGCATTTCTCTGTGCAGCAATGGAAAGGCTCATTTATTCCTTGTCTCAGTAGTCTGCAGCAGAGAGGATGTCAGGAGTCCTCCTACAGATCCTGCGCCCCTCTGTGCAGCCACAGTACCCCCTCATCTCAGAATTCAGCGGACTCCAGAAGCTGACTCTAGCCCACCTCTGGTCCTCCTCAGTAACACCCCAGGTTCTTCCCAAAAGCAGCACAAGGTAAGGGGGGGAATTGTGATTTAAGGAAGGGTGGAGGACTCTTGACTTCTGATGATGGGGCAGGCTCTAGACATCTGATGAAGGGGGGGTGCACCGGACACCTAGTCTTACAGACACAACTGGTCCTTTGAGGGAAACCATAATGCTGATGTGGCCCACAATGAAATTAAGTTTGACACCGCTGTTGTGGAGAGTCTCATAACTGCTCAACTTTACCTATTTCACTTCTGGGTTCACCCAGAACTATCCAGGTATAACAATACAAAGTAAAATTAAGACCACTCAAGTTTTAAATGCTGTTCTTTAGTGCTACCCCACGCACTCAATGCGTATGCTCATATCATACAGTACCCTAAAAAACACTGACATGTTTTGACATGCAGAAAAGCAATGATCCTGTTAGGGTAACCAAATACAGAATAGCTAAAGCTGTCAGAGCAATGCAACTAGAAAATCACTTACATACTTTTTTGGTGATATAATGATCTTCAAACAGAGGGAATATTAGCAGTTTAGAAAGAGGTGTACTAAGCAACCTCAGCAAAGGCACTTACATGCACATTGGGCACAGGGCATTCCTTCTTTGTTAGCTTAAAGGCAAAATAGGATACTAGGAAGATGTCCGGCCTCTTGTCTGGATCTGGCTCAAGCATGTACCCTGAAAGAAAAGAAAAACACAGAAACAGGAAACAGATAAAACATTTCATACCAAAGCAGGACTTTGGGCTCTTCTCATGACACTTGGTGAACTTTTATTGGGGGCCTATTGCTCTTAAAGCAGGCCATAAGTCAGTCAATATTCTTTAACACAACCACAGGTTGCAGGAAAGAAAATCAGTGTTGATGGGGAAATACTCCAGCGGCGAGATTGTGCTCTGCCAGTGGGGAGCCTTCCCTGCTGGCAGAACACAATGGTTAGTGCTAGCAGATATAGCTACCAGTAGTAATCTCATGCAAAAAATATGACCCTGTACTGAAGTCAATCGATGGATTGACTTCAGTACAACCAGCCTGCCCATACATGGATCGAATCTTGGCCAATCCCTGCTGAACCGGCCAAGACTCGATCCATCTATGGATGGCTTAAGGCACTGTTTGAATGGTTTCCTATCATTTCCCCTCAAGGCAAACATGCTGATAGCAATGAACATATAAGAGAGGTAACAAAGGAGCCAGCCAGTGTGGTATCCAAGAGAAATCTTAATGAACCACGGCATACATACAAAATAGGCTTTCAAAATCTGTAAAATGATAATCCCCCACCCTTTCTGTAATTTTTTTTAATGAGTTGGAAAACAAACATTCCATAGTTCTAATCATTCTGTTGTAAACTATAACTCTACCATTACCTGAACCCCACTAATTATAAGCTGCACCAGTGAAGAGTAAAATCGTGAACCTTGCATAGAAAAGACTTACGGATGAGGCAATGCATATCATGGGAGTACCGGGAGTTGTCTGGAATTGTGAAATTCCCATCACAGATTGACACCTGACTCTCACCAAATGGAAGGGTAAAGAAACACAGCTTGTAAAGTAGACATCCCAGGGCCTAGCAGAGACAGGAGAGTTACAAGATGAGACAAAAAACAGAATCTGTATTTCTGAGAATATTACAGACATCATTCAATAATCATTTATTACTCGTAAGGGCAGAAACCTGCAGGAACCAATCAGTATTCATTCTGCTGCAGTTAGACCAGTGCAAGTTTAATTTAGACTGGTTACTGCATTAGCTATTTTTTTTAATACAGCCAATGGGGATAACTGAAAACAAAGATTTGACTGACAGCACCTATTATTTCCTCCTCTGATTTTTCAGAGGTTTATACAGCTAAAAGGGACTTCTTTAAAGTGGCAAATAAACATAATTGTTTTCAATTGTATCTACAGGTATGCCTATAATAATGCTTACCTGTCGGGTACAGTGAATCTCTCCTGAATGTGCACCGTTTAGGAGATATTCACTGTTGTGGTCGCCAGTGAGGTCACCAACGCATGTGATCTGAAGGGATGGCATACTCATACCATCACTTCAGAGCTCCAGGCCATAGCCGTAACTTCCACGCCCAAGCGCAGGAGTAATGTTATTGCGACTCAGGCAACAGAAACCCTGTCAGCAGTAACAGCGTGACGCTGGAGGGATTCATTTTAGGGGGGGGTTATCACGATGTACTAGAATGTGATGCATACGAAAACGTTATTGCATTGCCTTGTAGGGGATTTTTTTTTTTTTTTTGCGAGAGTTTACTACCACTTTAAGACAAAGAGTAAGCAATAAAATGTGCTAAACAATTCTGCCGGGTATGTCTCGGGCCTTCCTAGCCGGAGATACTCGTCCAGTTAATCTGACAGTACACCAACTCTTCAAAAATAAGAAGTTCTTATCTAGAGAGGACATTATGAAGACATGGCCATCCCTGAACTTTACGCCATGGATGTTCAGACAACTTCATCACTTTATACGAAGCTCCCCACATCTACAAGATTACTCAAGGCCACTTACTCCGTATGAGAAACTTTGCTTTACGGACTTCCCCCAGAGACATGTTATATCCAAGCTCTATTCCTATCTGGGTACCGCCAATACGTCTCAACCTCGAAAGGCCTGTGAGGCCTGGTCGCTTGATCTACAACTGTCATTGTCACCGGAAGATTGGGATCACATCTATGACCATATGCATACAGGTTCTATTTGTGTCTCGACACAAGAAAACAACTATAAAATATATTCCAGATGGTACAGAGTTCCATCCTTGCTTCATAAATTTGACCCGGACGTTTCGGATTTATGTTGGAGATGTCAACAGGCAAAGGGTACACTCCTACATATATGGTGGGACTGTCCGCTGCTACAGCCTTTGGAGTAAAGTGCGAGACTTAGTTTCACAAATAACCACATACAATCTAGACTTCACCCCGGCACAATTTTTACTCCACCACTCCTCACTTCCTTTTCGGACTTATCGTAAGTCTCTTGCCTTGCACATGATAAATGCGGCAAAACAATGTATCCCTGTTCACTGGCGGTCAAAACAGGTTCCCACTGTGCGGGAGTGGTTTCTTAGGGTCATCAGGATTGCGGAGATGGAGGAGCTGATTTCAGTGGCAAAAGAACACCCCGAGAGATTCAGGAAGACTTGGGCATGTTGGAAACACTTTCAAACCACCAGTATTTATCGTTTTTCTATGAATGAATGAGATGTGATTCAAGAACTCAAACACCTTTAGAGCTCTCACCTCTAGAATTGCTCCATAGACTGAGTCTACCCAGACCATCTCTTACATAAAGGTATAATCTACGTCACCATAAATAATGTTACGTGATATGATTAGTTAACAGCCACTATTTATTATTTGACCCCCTCCATTCCCCCCCCCCCTTTTTTTTTTTTTTTTTTTTTTTTTTTTTTTATCCCCTTCCTTCTATGATGCTACTCTTCACACTTCCTTTCACCTGATGTGCCTTTCTCTCTTCTTTTCCTTTCCTTCTTTCCTTCACACCTTTGTCCTCTACAAATAACTATATCTTTTATGAGGGACAGGGTGCCCTTTCACATATAGGTATAGGTATGATTGTCCTTCACGATAAGAACCCTACGTTGCCCGGCTACGGACACAGAAGAATTGCACGCCTTCAAATGATATTTTGTACTGCGCCTCATGGTCCCATTATTTGAATAATCCCTACGCATCAGAGCAGCATCCACTATAATCCTCTAGACTACCTATTATAATCAGTATTCTTTTTTTTTTTTTCTGGTTTAGTTTACTCAACTGCTATAATGTGATCTTTTGTATAAGGGTAATTCACACTTCAAGTAAACAACTTATGACCCGTCTGCGCTACGGGAGATTATGACAGATGTTTATGCGCGGACTGTGTTCCGTATCCGTATATGACTTGTTATGCCTTTCTTATTTCAAAATAAAATAAACCTTTTTTTGGAAAAAAAAAAAAAAAAAAAAAAAAATGTGCTAAACAAATACAAAATATATAAAAAAAATTTTTTATAAAACCTGCACTGGAAAATCTTATTATTAAAAACCACTGCCATTGTAAAACCAGTAGCAACTCAGAAAGCATGTAGTGTTTACAAACCCAGATATCCGCCTTGGCAGTGATGACTTTGCCACTGTAAAGATTCACCATCTCAGGGGCACGATAGGAAAGTGTGGTATACCTGAAACAAAGGAGATTGTTACCATAAAGTAGCATACACACATTTACTTTGGTAGCATAATACAGTCAGCATAAAAAAAAAACAAAAAAAAAAAAAAAAAAAAAAGAAAAGAAATTGAAGGATGTAAACATTTTTTTGATAGAAGCCAAATCCTAAAGTGGTTCTAAAAGGCTCAAGGTTTTTACCTTCATGCATTCCTATGCATGAAGGTAAAAAACCTTGTGTGCAGCAGCCCACAAGACCCCCAGTCCTTACCTGATACCCCTCCGATCCAGAGACGCTCTCAACAGCCTCTGCTGTCTGGGGACTCTTCCTCCACATTGGCTGAGACAGCAGCGGGAGTCAATGGTTAATTACAGCCAGTGAGCCAATGAGGAGAAAGCAGGGGCAGGGCCAATCAGTCTTACGGACGCATAGAGCAGCAGCTCAGGGACTAGCATGCAGCGGTGCCCCCAGGGCGAGCGGCTTTCCCTGAGTGCACTGCAGAATGGGGAGGAGCCAGGAGCCCCGGTGGGGACCCAAAAAAAAAAGAGAATCGGGCTGTTCTGTTGAAAACTACTGCACAGAGCAGGTAAGTATAAACATGTTTGCTCTTTCAGAACAAAAAAACAAATGCTTTAGTGTCACTTTAAGGCTTTAACTGCATGGTATTTGGTCCCTTCTTGTTTTGCTATGATGTACCCAAATCCATCACCAGATTGTTTCAGAGGATGCTCCCTGCAGGGCACTATCCTTCACCTACGGTAGAAGTGTGCAAAGATCAAGGAATTCTGGAATAGGGTTTTTTCCTTGCTCCACCGAGTGACTGGTCTCTATCTTTCAACAACCTCAAATAGCATTACCGAATGAACCCCCACTGGGAATTTCTTGTACTTCCCAACGACTGTGCTTTTTTTGTTATATTGGCTGCCAAAATCACAATCGCAGAAGCATGGAAAAAACCCTCAGTCTCTTTGAAACAAAGCATAAGATTTCCCGGATTATGATCCATGAGAAAACTGCGAGCATTGCCAATGAAAAGCAACAAAAATATAGGCTAGCTATGTGAACATGTCAATTACTCCATCTCAGGCAACCACTTCATCAATCTGTCGAGTGCCCTAGGTATATTCTTTTCTCTTTCTTCTTCCTATCTTTTCTCCAATTACCATCTATGTTTTTTGTTTTTATATTTAATAGATTGGATAATGAGCAGCTGACTGTTGAGCACTGGAGCTTTCTTGGGCATAGACTGCACGTTCTTTGTAACCTGCTCATTAATGCACTGCGCAGTTCACCCTTATTGATTCATTGAGATTATAAAGTATACGGTATCAGGTTGCTGTATTGTATGCTGCTATCCGGAAAACAACTTTCCATGTATATATGTCATGTTGAGCCTTATGGCTTTTTCTTGTGTTCAGTCTTTTTTCAAGGAACAACGTACCTGTTTTTATGTACTAAGAAAAAAAAAAAAAAAAAAAAACATATTGAAAGAAAAAAAAATAGCTGGAGATGGTGTTTTACAGTAACTACCCCTATATATCATCATAAATGTGTGTAAAAATATTTTTTAGCAACATTTTTTTTTTTTTTTTTTTTTTTTAAATTTAGGTCCGTTGTTGATGAGCTTTTGGTTGCTTACAAATGGCTTCTCTCACTATACAATTTAGCTGAAGCAGGTCATCTGCAAATTAACTACATCTGCAATGAATTCTGAATGTTCTTAAAAGTGTCTAGGACTGATGTCAAAAGTATTCTGCATTTGCCCATTGAAACCTGCTGACACTGGCCCTGTACCAGTTTTTTTCCAAAATCACCACTGTGGGGTGTATATACCACTGATGCCATGGATCAACACAGCAGGGCCAAGAATTGGCCATTTTGAGAGTAGTAGTGTAATAAAACAGATACATTCATAGGGTGGTGTGGCAGTCAACTGCGGGCAATCATGGAAAACAAGAGGATATACATGGAAGAGGAGAGAGGCACTGCTGAAAGATATAACTGAAGAGGATATAAATTTATCCTGCCAAGTTTCCAAGTCACACTCAGACATGGCAAAAACCACATTTGGGAAACACTTGATTGCTGTCAGGAAGAAAACACATTTCCGTTGGTACAACTGCTGCTTTATAAAAGGTTCTGCTGGTTTTAATACTCAACCTCTGAGGAATTTACCTCTTGCTGAATGGTAAAACAGCTAGAGCAATGCTAGTTTTAACGCAGAACTCCATGTAAAATTGTTACTTTCCCATGCAGTGGGGCTGTGCCCGCACTGCATGGGAAAACTGCCTGTTTTGGCAGGGGTTTAGTGGAAAAGCTATACTTACCCCGTCCTCCAATCCTCTGGAAACCACGGTCCCCCACGTCCAGAGGTGGACTATTCCTGACGTTCTCACGCCCATGGGCGTGATGATCTCAGAAACAGTCCATTCACAAGACCGCTAGTGTGCAAGTGGGGGGAAGAAGTGGCAGGGACCGGTCTTGCACTCCAAGAATCAGTGGATCCGGTAAGTATATCTTCACTCTTATCACCCCTAGACAAAAACAAGCAGATGGCCCATCGCAGTGCGGGCACAACCCCACTGCATGGTACCAAAAAAAAAAAAAAATTGCCCAGATTTCTGCTTTAAGCATCACTCATATCATATGATACAGCTGCTATCACACCACCATTGACCGTAAATGGCCATCATCTGCACATGGACAGATACGTAGTATAGCTTCCTCCACTACAGCACTAACTGCAAATCAAAATAGAAAACTCCATAAGAATAGTAGCTGCCAAATAAAATGTCTCACTGGTTCCACAAGAGTGAACAATGCTGACCTACCCCACACATTTTAGCACAACACCCAGCAGGATATCATTCTCAGGAAAAATGGCTCACATGGAAATGCATTTAGTAAAAACCAACATTGAGGAATTGTGTTTAGGGACTACATAATAAATCATTTTCGAAGCTTTAAAATGAGCTTTCCAAACCACACCTCTAATGCGTTTTGCAGAAGTGAAAGTGATTTGGATTTATTAAACTATCTGCTCAACTCTACATTTATCCTAACAGCAAGATATGAAAGGTATCCATGCATAGCATCTCTGAATTTATGTATTTATTTACAAATTAAATTTAAAACTTTTTTTTTAACTGATTTCACTACACTTATTTGCTGTGCCTCTGCCCTGGTGGTGTAGTGGTAGGCCAGCAAACAAAATTAATCATTGTCCTTGGATGCATTTATTTTTTTTTTTTTTACACAACACCCAGCTCACCTGCCTCTGCCCTGGAGGTGTAGTGGTGGAGCACTTGCCAGAGCTTCTGTGGTCCGGATGTCAGGTCTCACACTGCCACACCCTGATTGAGGTGTGTGATGTCAGACATCCAAAAGGCGCCCTCCTACGTCTCTCTCCATAAATACAGCAGTTACAGTCGGCAGACTTGAAGGTATCCGTTTTAGAATCAGAGCATTTGCACAAGTATTCCTACAAATGCTTAGTATCGGCAACAATACTGGTTTGGGTGCAATGCTAGCAAAAATTCATATCACGTTTTTGATGTGTTTTCTAGTTACTTTACTGATAAATGGACATGTGACTCAAAAAGCACACCAAAAAAGCAACTGTGGTTCATTTTTGAAAGGTTTTCCATTTATTTCAATAGGAGGATACATTTTGGTGTGCTTTTTATACAGGGCACCAATTTTGCAGCATGCAAGACCTTTCACAACGCACCACACTGACCCCCGGTTCACATCTATTTGAATGGACTCCTGTGCTAGTGACACACAGGGAAGAAGTCCCTGCACTTCTTTGGAAAACGCAGCCCGCACGGGAACCTTGGTTCCCAATACGGTTGCATTTCCCAGTGCGGGTGGCGTGCCATTAGAACTAATGGCACCCGCCCGCGGGTCTGCATTTCTCTGTGCGGGTGGTGCAGCTGCACAGATTTTCATGCGGATCCGCAGCAGCACCACCCGCACAGATGTAAACCTAGGGTAATGTGAAGAGTTACACAGGACATAAAAGGAGATTTTTATTGTGTTGTTTTCTGCTTTTAGACAGCTAAAAGTGCAGCAAAAAAAGCATCACCCTGAAATGGCTCAAAGGTGCCTTCAGAGGTTGTTAGGGGATAAGTAACAGCTAACAACAATGACCTTATTAGCCATTTGTATGGGGGGGGAATGCTCCTCACACATGTTGTCTCCTTGGGAAGATTCCCACATACTAGTGTTCTAGGAGGTGTAAATATAGTAATTAGCAATGCCTGGAAAGTTATTTTAAGAGTTCACCAATGTTGAAAAGCGATGAGAAAGGATGCTACCTCATTGCTGGGAATAACTACAGTCTAAACCACGTATCTAGGACTAGGCTGCTGACCACTACAGAACCCACCACAAACCACATACTAAAAAATGGTACATTTAAAAAAAAAACAAAAAAACAATGTACTGATGTGCAATGAGCAATAACCCACAGCAACGAATCAGAAATAACACCTGAGCTGACTGCACTAAATTAAATTTGACTGGTTGCTGCCTTACATATCGTTACCCGTTGTATTTCCATGTTGAAGAAATGTAATAAATTCTAGCAAAAAAAAAAAAAAACATATGCAGACAGTCAACCTCTATAAAAGGTGCTTCAAAGGCTGTGCATGAGAATAGACCTTGTGACAACATGTGACAGCAGGACAAAAAAATGAGAAATATGGCATTACTAGGAATGGAATACACCAACTGTAATAGTAACCTGATAAAGTTCTATTCCTTCCCCATTTGAGAGGGATAAAAAAAGGTATGAGGTTACAGCACATGCTATGAGTTACCCTCATTTTCTTGTCAGAGAGGAAGCCGGGCAAAGCTCTCTAATAGTATTAAACACACAGTAGAACCAAACAAAAATTATTTTCCTTCCCCACTGTCCAAAACGAACTTAAAAAAAGAGTAACAAAAAGATGGAGCTTTAAGATGTCCAGCAATAAAGGAAGACTGTGACATTCTAACTGTGCAACAATTTGTCCACACAGCACAATATGTTTTTGGTTTTAACACATCTATTCAGCGCAGGCACCTCTACCATACTGATACTGATAGTATGCTGCAGTGTTAGTTGTAGGATCTCAGTTGTCTGTAATGTGAACCTGCCCAATCAACACAGTGTACAGAGGATATAAAAAGTCTACACACCCCTGTTAAAGTGTTAGGTTTAATCAAAGACACTTTAAATGATGGCAGGTGTGCACTGACTCCTATTTACCATGATTTTCAATGTGATTGCTTAATTCTGAACACAGCTACATCCCCAGTTGTTAGAGGGTGTGCACACTTATGCAACCACATTACTTTAGTTTGTTTACTTCCCCCCCTAAAAGATTTCAGTTTGTTGTTCAACTGAGTTGTACAGTATATAGGTTACATTAACCTCCCTAGCGGTTTGATTATGTCAGTATTTCTGTGCTGAAAGCGGTACTTTTTTTGCATGAAAATATGTTGTTTTTTTTTTATTGTAGGCCTGTAATTTTTAGGAATAACTGAAATCTGCCCGAACAAGAGTCTAGAAAACATCCCGGGTATGATAAAATTTTAAACACGAAATCATAAATTATAATAATAATAAATAATCATAAAAAATAATATAATAATAATAATAAATAAAATTCAATAAAATCAAACCAAAAACACTGAAATCTGAAGCATAGCGCCAAGTTCGCACATCATTGAGCTTAGTCGCAAAATCATTTTCAGTGTCTGATGACCAATTTCCCCACGAATCATCACTCAATTCTGCAAGTTGTTCTGATTTACTATCGCTGTTCTCTAGCTGGTCTAAAACTGCTTTTGACCTAAAGGGACGCTTTTTGGACGCCATGGACATTTCTCAGTTTCCGGGTAGAAAGAACGGTAAAAATGCAGGCAGGGCACAGGACAAAGCAGTAGGGACAAAATGTATGTAAAATGCTTTGAAAACAGTAATGTTTTACTATGTGATTTTAGTGCATTAGTGAATGTCACTTTTTAAAATCTTTAAATTTCCCGCCGGTTCCAGCATCAGCCGGAGGAGAAGGCCGGGGACGCTGCAGGGAACACATCACGGAAGCGCAGGACAAGGTAAGTGATCGAGGGAATCCCAGAGCAACGCTGCAGGGTAATCCTGAGTGTAGCTCGGGGTTACCGCTTTTGGCACTGATAATTAACCCCGAGCTACACTCGGGAATACCGCCAGGGAGGTTAAAGGTGGAAAAAGTTCTGAATTGATTTATCTTTGTCTCATTTTTTTACATTACAGCAATCTGACATTTTAACAGGGGTGTAGACTTTTTGTATCCACTGTATAAAGCAATACTGCTAAAGCAAGTGCCTTCTCTTGTCTCCAAATCAGTTGCTTGTGTTTGGGGAACCCCAGATCCATGGCCTAGGCTGTATAAACATGCTCTTCACCGATCTCCCAAGTCAAGATTCAGCCCCTTGCCTGTTATTCAACAGTCCAATTCTAGAACCTCAGGAGCCAACAGAGGCACTGACATTTGACAGTGTAATGACTAGGTGGTGAAGCTTAGCATCAAAGCGGTGGGACATAGCCTTAACCTGAAGAGAATAAGAAGAATCTGATCAAAGGTCTCCCTTATCCACAGAGATAACAGATTAGAAGACACGTGCAGGTACTTGCAGCCCCCATAAGGTGTCTATGACATTGTAGACCTAAGAAGTAATATTAAGATTCTGACTAGTATAGATCTACACAATGGAAAAAGTTAAAATGTTGGCATGGACCACAGCACATGGCTGATTGCGAACATGTAGCGAACAAATACCTTGAGGGTTATTTACTAAAACTGCAGAGTGCAAAATTTGGTACAGCTCGCATAGAAACCAATCAGCTTCCAGGTTTTATTGTCAAAGATTAATTGAACAAGCAGAAGTTAGAAGCGGATTGGCTACCGTGCACAGCTAATCCAGATTCTGAATGCAACAATTTTCGTAAATCTACCCCCATGTTCATATACCTGCCAAAATATATATTGCTCTCTCTGCCTGACAATTCATACCAGATGAAAAGGGCAAATGATTTTACAAGAAACATCAGTATATGCATTAAATGTCACCAGATTCTCATGTCATTTCTGATATAAGCAGAACTGCAGCATAGCTACAGCAGCCATTGGGTGCCAATAAAGGTGAATTGCAAAGTTCTCACATGACTGAAATGTTACCAGACATTTAAATAGTGCCAACTGTCAGAAATTGTATTTAGTGAGTGCCCAAGTTGCAAGGCCTATGTTATTACATAAATCTATTTGAATAAATGCAGTCATCTTGAACATACTTTTTGATTTCATCCTCCACAGCAGTGACACCTTCAGTCTGGGGGTTTTGACATTTATTTGTTGCACTTCCAAAGTCGCACAGGACGTAGTGACCACGGTCATGAAGTAGGATATTTTCAACCTGCAAACACAAATCAAAAACATAAAAACGTAGTCCTCAATGAATATCAGAAACCTGTGAACTTTCAATAATACATCTCCAAAAGCACTGAATATGTGGAAAAGTGCAGCAACCTATGAGAAATCTTACTTCACTTATCTAATGCAAAAAAAATCTGCTTGGTTGCTACATATGCTCATCATCCATGCTCTTTGCACTGCTTTACGGAATTAGTCTAGTAGACTTAAGCTGGGCACAGATGGATCGAATCTTAACCGGTTCAGAAGGGATGGGCCGAAATTTGATCCATCTAGGGGCAAGGCTTGTTGTACCCAAGTCGATCCATCAATCAACTTGGATACAACCGGCCTGTCTGATTTTTTTTACATGCAATTACAGCTGTTGACTATAGCTGCTAGCAGTAATCATTGTGTTCTGCCAGGTAACATTCTGGCAGAACACAATAGTATTGCGGAAGGGAATCAAGCAATTTTATTTCCTTCCACCAAAATGGAATTACCTACGTCTTTACTTAGAATATACTTTCTCTATTCTCCCTCACTGTATTATCATGTATCGGCCACATAGAGAACACAGAGGTAACTCAGGCTCTTCTACATCTAAGGTCAGTCATCCATCTAAACATGTGCAAACAAAATAATCCTGAAGAATACATGAACAATTTTCACATAAATTTGTATTTTTTCATAAACTAAAAGTTCTTTCGCTCAATAAATGGCTATGGGAAGACTAGTTAAAGTAGGACAGCAAAGTCAGCCACACAATTTTCACTGTCAACCCAAATTTGCTATGCCGAGTTATGGCGTACCAATGCAAACTATTCAAACTGTATCCTATATGGTAGACCCTCATGTTACACAGCACTTGGTAAATTCTGCTGATGGAACAGGTCAAGTTCTGATTGCTTAAGAGTAAACTAAAGCAAATTATAGGTAATAAAAAGAAAGACAGGTCTTTGATATCTGGAGCAGAAGAAATGAAGATGTGGCTCACAGCAACTAAATAAAGTGGTAGAGCATCCTGAACCAACCGGAACTTCAAGTCTTGTCCAAGAAAACATCATCAGACTGAGTGTAAAGATCCATAGCTAATTATCGTGCCTAAAAAGCACTTCTAACTCTTGGTGTTCTCACATCAATTGTTTGGACGTTTGCCATTTTTTGAGGAACAATATATTGCTGAATACAAAAGAATATAAAGACTAGCAATTCAGAAGGAGAGAAGTAATATATAAAACTATCTGGGTTATGCAGCTCACACACTTAACAATGCTATGAATTTAAATAAAAAAAAAAAATGTGTATGTACCTTATGAATATTCAGGTAACAGAAAAATGTTTTTTGGCATGCTAGCTATGCTACTCATTCCAACAATGTTCTAAGAATATTAGTAATAATGCAGTTATTCACCAAGAATGATGCAAAGTAAGAAATCTGTTTATCATTGCTTCAGTTGTCACACTGCTGGAACCCCTGTGCCCTTAACAGTACAATGCCAAGACTGGGCTGAAACTGGAAGAATACAAAATAATCATCTCTGGGATAGAAACTAAGCTAGAACATATAGACCAATCAGCCATAAACCTTTTGTGACCCCCCCCCCCCCCCCCCCCCAATATTGAGTAGGTCCCCCTTTCGCCATCAAAACAGCCCTGACCCATCAAGCCATGGATGCAACTAGGCCTCTGGAGGTATGCTTTGGTATCTGATACCAAGCTGTCAGTAGAAGATCATTTAGGTCCTTGTAAGCTGTGAGGTGGGGCCTCCATGGATTGGAATTTTTCCAGTACATTCCATGGATGTTCGATTGGACTAAGATCCGCAGTATTTGGAGGCCAAGTTAAAACTTTAAACTCCTTGTTGTTTTCCTCAAACCATTCTTGAATGATTTTTGCAGTGTAGAAGGTCATGTTATTTTGCTGAAAGAGACCACTGCCATTAGGGAATATAGTTTTTCATGAAGGGGTGTTCTTGGTCAGCAACAATGTTTAGGTAGGTGGTACGTGTCAAAAACATCCACATGAATGGCAGGACCCAACATTTCCTAGCAGAACATTTCCCAAAGCATGACACTGCCTTCTGCCAGCTTGCATCCTTCCCATACTGCATACTGGTGCCATCTCTTCCCCAGGTAAGCAATGCATAAGCGCCTGGCCATCCACAAAGAATCCACACTCTTCCAGCTCCAGTCCAGTTCTGACGCTCACATGCCCATTGTAGGCCCTTTTGGCTGTGGACATGGCTCAGCATGAGCACCATGACTGGTCTACAGACACACACAGTCTGATACACAACAAACTGCGATGTCCATTTTTCCTGCTTTCAACACATTAGCTTCAGGGACAGCATGTTTACTCGCTGCAGAATATATACCACTGACTTTCAGATGCTGAGATAATCAATGTTATTCACTTAACCTGTCAGTGTCAAAGTTATGGCTGATCGGTGTATGTGTTGATAGCAAGCACTTAACACAGTCAAAACTGCCCATTACTGCTTTCTAGGACCCAAACAGCATAATGCCTGCTTAAGTTTTGCGGTAAGATGTTGAGTTGGGGGTCTCGTGGACTCATCTATGGCCTCAACAACACTTCCAAGATATATGTTGGTGCCTTGTGTCATAATTCAAGTACTTGCAGTTTTGCGTGTAGATCGCAGAATTTCCTAATAGTACAGTGCTGGCTAAACATTGCTCAATCAGCAGAAAAATACATAACAGGTCTCCTACGACCAATATATGAAGAGCTTGCATCATGACAATGGTTAAAACTTTCTGATAAAACAACAATCACCATCTGTGCATGATCCACTTTACTGAGTAACAAGGCAAAGAACAAAGCTATACAGGATGCCATGGCAACTATTTATGTTTTATAGACTCTTCTAGCTGCTGAAAACGAATTTCTGGTTCATTTACAGAAGCAACTGTATGACTGTAATCCTGTATTACCAGGCTTATAATGTAAAGGAGACGTATGGGAATCTAAAAAAATAAACATACATACTCGCCACACTACTGCGGCATTAGTGTGATGCTGCAACTGCCCTCCCCTGGCTCGAAGCCTGAGAACTGAGCGATCACATCACCGTTAATCGCTTAGTTCTCAGTCACTGCTTTAGTCCTCAGGCACACTTTACGTTTTTACAGTTGCTGTTTTTGGCTTTTGACGGTTTTTTATACAGCTAGTAAACCCCCCAGCATGTTATCCTATGTGTCCATGTACACAGACTGTAATCAACGTTTTTTTGGCTAGAACGTTTTTTGGCTGGAAAAACCCTCCAGGACTAGTGGGTTTGTAGAGGAGTTTTTTAGCTGTAAAACGCTCTAATGCTGAAAAACACAGTAAACCGCTGCAAACCGGCGTTTTTGGACTTTTTTTTTTTTTTTTTTTTTTAACAAAAACATTTTTTTTAGGTAAATAAAAATGCAAACGCGGGAAAACCCAGCAAAACACTGCTAAACGCTAATGCAAAAATGCTAAAAAAACCTCACGTTTTTAACATAGGATCAAGGTCCTCCTGCGCTATGAATGGAAGTGTGCCTAACCTGAAGCTGACAACACTCAGAAAAACTGATACCTAAACAGTGTCAAACATTAAACAAATAGTGCAGCGCTCATAGGAAAAATCTATATAATAAATAACGAATATAAGGTGTAATTCATAACTATTATTATTAACTGTTATGAATTACACCTTATATTAGTTATTTATTATATAGATTATTCCTATGAGCGCTGCACTATTTGTTTCACGTTTTTAACATGACTTTACACAGCTAATGGTACCAGTATCAAAACTTCCAGTGTGCATGAGGACCTAGGCTTTGCCCTCCAGCGCTCACTGGATTCCTGGACAGAAGAAGGGGAAGAGGTCAGCTGGCTCAGGTTGTCAGCTGCTGATCAGGCATCTGGGTGGATCTCAACATTGTCCGGATCCTTCCAGAGCCCAGAACACCTCTGTGACATCAGCCGACAGCGGGCTTTAGCCCTCTGTTTGCAGGTTCTAGGTCACAGGAATGCAAAAGAAAGTGTACTACTGTCACCCAGAAGACGAGTATGACAAAAAAAAGCTTTGGCTATACTTATCTTTTATTCAACATTTACACTTCGCCAAACATTCTAATCCATTGGGTTGATTTACCAAGGGCAAATAGGCAAGGGAATTTGCACTTTGCAAGTAAATTGTTCCTTACCTTAGCAACTGTGGTGAAAGTTCACTTTGCAAAAGGAACCCAGATCATGTGCAAGGGAAAAAAAAAAATATTTTGGCTTGCACATGATTGGATGATGGAAGCCAGCAGAGCATTACCTCATTAAGCTTGGTAAATCAACGACCACGTTGCCCTACATCTGTTTTGCCATAGAGCAATAATAGTCAGTGCAAAACAGTCAGGCATACTGGGCTGATGATTTATCAGAAATTCAGCTAAGAGAAGGGAGGCAAAAAGGAAGCATAGTCAAAGAATCAAAAGTGCACTGAGCAGCGTCACAATGCATAGGATGGTTCAGTGAGGGACTGTTCATTTGCTGTGTGCGGTACCATAACCAACACAGATTGCAGAACTGATCAATGCTACTGCTATACATTTATTCCAGACGTTAAAGGAGATCTAAAATGGAAAAAAAAAAAAAAAAAAAGAAAAAGGCATATATTGCATCTTACCGGTCCTAAGATGTGGCGACTGCAGTAGTTTTCAGGACACAAACATTGTCAGCAAGTAAAATCAAAGCCTACAATTGTGCCCCAGCAAGGGGCAAAGCATGTTAGAGGAAGAATCCTGGGCGGAGTTGTCTGTGCTGACCATGACATTTTGATTTTACCCTTTAGAAATGGTGTTTGTCTCCAGAGCCTTGCTGTATCATGACCACAGACTGGGAATACATTCCTATAATGTAATTTATTTGTTAACCAATGATAAAATGGCAAGGATCACAAACATTTTGGCCTCAAACTCCTGCAATCCAGCAAGTCCAGTATTAGCAGGACTAGATGAAAGC